TTACAAATACATTCGTCCTAGAGTCTTACACTGATATCGTCGTTGCAAAATGGACTGCTCCATTTGAAGAATTTGGTACTGAACTTAATTATGATTTGCTTCAATACATCATAGTTCAAATCAGTTGTAGTTGTGTGCTTCTGGTCCATAATCTTCTGGTAAGTGCACCATAATTCTGCAACATAAAATATAATATACCCATTATCAAAAATAATATAAAATAAGAGTACTTTTACCATCTTAGCAAGTTTTGGTGCCTACTGGTATGGTCAATAAAAGTCTTGAATCTTGGAATTCGTATAGATGATATGAGAAAAACAATATGTCGAGAGAAAAATGGAGAACATAAAAGAGAAAAGGTTAACTCAATGCACAAGACTTCCATCATTGAGAAATTTGGAGAGGGTTATATATATGTTTATAGTCTTACCTCAGCATGCGGAGAGGCTGTTTCCCGTTTCAAATTCGTGACCTCCAAACCACAATTCACCAACTTATCGTTGGTGACAAAACTCCCACTCATAATATTTTCTTCCTTAGTTGGAAAAGCAATTAGAGTACAATGGTGATCAATTACACTACCTTTTACAAATTTTTCTTAAATTAAAACAAGAAATATGTAAACTAAGGATAGAGGGGTTGAGTAGTAAGAAGAAAGGAAAGAAGATGGGGGGAAGCAAGTGAGGAAAGAAAAGAGAGGAGAGAAAGGAGGAGATGTTGAAAATAGAGGGAAGGGAGAGGCGTGTGGAGGATAAGCAGAGAGAGAGACACACACACACACACACAGAGAGGGAGACAAAAGCTATGTATGTTAAGGAGGGTAAAAGGGCATAGCTTTGGCCGTTGGAGGTAGGACCCTTCCCATACTAACTCAATAGTTTTCTCAATAACTTCAGTCTTGTGGAGGAAGATGTTTGACATTTCAACGGATTTTATAGGTGTACAATGCCATTGCATGTTGCACACGTGGTGCATCCTACAAAAACTTATTTAAAATTAAAATTAGACTCGTAATCTTTCTTTATAACGACTGAGAATCATAAATGAGAAAAACAACCCATATTGCTCACATCTCGCATATAAAATAAAATATTTATTGGGTTCGAAGAATTCCCTTTAATGTCGCCCATGGTTTTTACTTTTAAACCATATGTTGGACAAAATCCAGTCTAATGTAGTAGTTTTTTTTTTTATAGTCTTAATCATGTTGAACAACAACGCCATTGCATGTTATTCACGTGGCGCTTGTATAAAATTATTTAAATTTAAATTTTGATCCATTATATAATGTAATCATATAAAAACTAATTTAAAATTAAAAATTGTAACTCTTGTTGGAACACCTCTCTCTCTCTCTCTCTGTCTCTGAAAACCATAAATGAGGAATACTACTTACTTGTTTTCCCTTTATATCGCTCATGTGTCTCATGGTATGGCATAAATGATTTAAAATAGAGTATTTATTTTTTTTGAAGTATTCCTTTAGGTGTTGCCCACAGTTTTTTTTGGTTCAAAACCATCTACCTGATCAAAATTCAGTCTAACTTTGTAGCCTGTTTTTTTAAGGGAAAATTGCATTAACACCCCTTTAGGTTTCGGTCAATGTCTTTCAGATATGGGTCAACAGTTTTTTTTTAACAATGACACCCATTGGTTTCAAATATCATATTTGCCCCTGATTATTTAACTTAAAAAAATATCAACCTTGTTAATTGACGAAACTACCCTCAACCATGGGTTGGCCTTGATTGTTTTCAATTTTTTTCTATTGTGGTGGTGGGTGTGGTTGTGGTGGTGGTGGTAGTGTTTAGGTGTGGTTGTGGCGGTTATAGTGGTGTACGACTATCTGGCTATTTCAAAAAAAATTATTTTTATTTTTTATTTTATGTTGTGGTGATGGTGGTGGTTTCTTGGTGTGGTGGTGGTTATGGTGGTATAAGTATTGTTGTATATACACAATATATATACATATATATACACACACACATACGTATGTATAGAAGATATGAAGAGGTTAGTTTGGTCCATTAAAATTAGTTACGAGGTTAAATTTGTAATTTCATGATTCAAATGGGGTTGTTGATAAGTCAAATGGTTAAAGGTAATTTCAAATTGTCTTAGAGGTCTGGAGGAGTGTCAATGCACATTTTTTAAACCTAAAGAGGTGTTAATATAAAAGAAGTCATTGAGTGGCATTGACCAAAACTTCACTGGTGTCAATACAATTTATCCCTTTTTTTATTAGCCTTAATCTTATTGAACACGTATTTGACAATGTCATTGCATGTCACTCATGTGTCACATACAACGTCGCGGAGCTAGAAATTAAATCCAAGGTGGGCACAATGTTAAAAAATAAAATAAAATAAAATAATTCAATAAACATGATAACAAATATCGATTCTTTAAATCAAGAGGCAAAAAAGAAAAATTATTGCAAAATAATATTATATAGTATAAATAAGATAAATAGTTGACAAAAATTAGAAAAAGGAAAGAAAAGTAACATAACTTTGAAAGGGGAAAAAAAAAAAAATAGAGTTTGTTTCAAAAATGAAAATTTAACGTTTTTTTTAAGGAAATTAAACAAATTTAAAGAGTAAAAGAGAAAAGCAATAAAAACTTAAGAGATAATTTTAGAAAATAAAATTTTTAGGGGGGGACATTATGATATGCAGGGCCAGTTCAACGGGCATGTGGCATTAACTGGATCCAGCACAAGTCATACAAAAACTAATTTAAATTTTATTCTCATAGTCTTTTCTCTTTATGACACCCAAAAATCTTAAATGAGAAATACATGTTAACTTTTATTTTTTAAATTATTTTAGTATTAGAGTGGATGCTTTCAATATGTCACTCCATATTATTCACGTGTATCATCATGCGATACAACTAATTTAAAACAAAGTATTTATTGTTTTCAAATTATTCTTCTTAATATTGCTCATGATTTATACTTTAAAAAAATCATAAACTGGACAAAATCTAGGCCAACTTCATAACATTTATTTTATTAGTCTTTCTTGTAGGACTCTATTTGACAATTTTATTGCATCTCACCCACGTGGCGCTTGTTGTATAAAAGTAGTTTAAATTTAAGTTTTGCCAAGGCGACTTGATGCAGTCCATAAAGTGAAATCACTAAATTAGACTTCTAACATTGATTATATTAATAGAGTACTAATAATTTTTATTTTAAGAATATTATTTCTACTTAGCTCAATGAAATGTAAAAATACTATTTACTTTTTATAACTTAATATATAGTGATTGAAAAAAGAGAGTCAATAAATTACAAAGTACAAAATTTTGAACAAGTATTGACATGCAAGAGAATTTAAACATTAGAAGAAGTCCAAAAGGTGTGAAATTGTTAGGGAAAAAAAAAAAAGGTAATTAAATAATAAAATTAAAAATAATAATAATAAATTAATTGACCAATGGAAGTACATTTGTATTTATTTGGTAATTAATAAGAAGCATAAACAATTCATTAAGTTATATATATATTTATTTTGTAATTAATATAAATTATAATACACGAAGCATAATTATTTCATTAAAAAATATATATAACTAGCATAATGAGATATAAGGCCTCTTCTCTTATTGGAGGCTTTAGGCAACTGCCTTAATTGCCTTGTGATTGAACCGCTCATGAGTTTTGTCACAATTTTTAATTGAAACCATAAATTGTATAAATTCATACTAACTTTATGTTAAGTCTTTATGGGGGATATGTTTGATATGTTAGGGCACATTGCCAATGTATGCCACTTACGTGGGCAAGTTATATAAACCTGTTTTAAAATATATATATAAATTAACCCTTCTCATAGGCATGTTCAATATGACAACACATATTGCTCAAGTGTCTCATTTTATGTAAGACGTGATTTAAAATAGAGTATTTATTATTGTTGATGTAGGATTTTGCGGTGACTCGAAGCAACGTCATACCTAGAAGAGAGAGGGGAGAAAAAGGTGATCGGGAAGACACCGGTGTGATACCGGCTAAGAGCCTTCGACGATCAATTCAGTGCTAGATCGGTAAAAGGGGGAGAGAGTGAGGTATTAACGAACCCCCTCTTTATAGTGGTGTCAAGTTACATTAAAATAAGAGTGTTATACCTTTTCCTTCTAGGGGTGTCAAGTTGCATTAAAATACGGGTGGGAAACCTTTGCTCATTTTTATCCAAGCCACTAGAGCTTATCCTGCTTTGTAAACTTCGTATGACGGTGAAACTTTGCAGGTGAAGCTGGGTCAATCAGTTGGGATAGTATATATCCATATTGATTGACCCACCAAGAAGTTTGACATTATACGAAATCTATAAAGCAAGATAAAATTAACCCACCATGAAATCTATAAAGCAGGATAAGCTAATCGTCTTGGAAAAGTAAAAGGTATAACACTTCATTTTAATATAATTTGTACGACACAAATTCCTAGGCAATACCTCTCTCTCTCTCCCCCTTTACTGATCTAGCATTCTAGCACTAATTTGATTGTTCGACTGCATTCTAACACTAACTTGATTGTTCGACTCTGCATTCTAGCACCAACTTGATTGTTCGACTCTTAGGCCGGTACCATACCGGTGCCTTCCCGATCACCTTTTTCTCCTTTCTCTTCCAAGTACGATATTACTTTGGATCGCCGCAAAATCCTGCATCTAGGATTATTTTCAAAGTATTCATCTTAATGTTGCCCATAGATCTTCAAAACCAAATAGAAGATAAAATTTAGACTAATTTCACCTACTATTGCGTGTTACTCATATTGTGTTTGTTGTATTAATGTTATTTTAAATATAAAATTAGATTATGAATTACAAACATTTTCTTTCTTAACATGTTACAATTTTTTATTTATTTATTTTTATTGAAAACATATTATTTTTAATTAACATTTTTGAGGTGCTAAGTCTCCCATGTTATTTAGGATTTTTGTTTAAAAAATGTTTATCCCTTTCAGAATTTATTATTATTTTATTATATCATTATGAATTACTAACATTTTGTTGGTTATACGAATATAATAAAACCATGTCCTGTAAAGGTCTCATCTCCCAGACTCCCGCTCCTAGAAGAACAACTAGGGTCTCTGGATCACTGGTGCATGAAATCTGTTCCATCAAATACGAATGGCTACTTCTTTATCAAATCTTCTCCGTTGGAAATGTGGTTGGTGCAAACTTTTCTCTCAAAATCATGTGATGTCGTCTTCAGACTCTCCTTCCATTCAACACCAGGTCATTCCGGTAAGACTTTTGGCAATAAATGATTCCCCAGAATACATTTTTCTTTGCTTCTATTTATTGAAGGATTACTATGTTATTGCTAGAAAATATAATTGTTCCAACAAGTGATATAATTGTTGGGAATGCTTCTATTGGTAGAATTGACATGGCATGCTAACTGTTTGATGATTTGCTTCAATGGGATTTTTGTCTATACCTGTGCTATTGTCTATATCCTTTTATAATTGCTGGGAATGCTTCTATTGGTAGAATTGACATGGCATGCTAACTGTTTGATGTTTGCTTCAATGGGATTTTTGTCTATACCTGTGCTATTGTCTATTTCCTTTTTATAATTGCTGGGAATGCTTATATTGGAAGAATTGACATGGCATGCTAACTGTTTGATGATTTGCTTCAATGGGATTTTTGTCTATACATGTGCTATTGTCTATTTTCTTTTATAATTGCTAGGAATGCTTCTATTGGTAGAATTGACATGGCATGCTCACTGTTTGATGATTTGCTTCAATGGGATTTTTGTCTATATCTGTGCTATTGTCTATTTCCTTTACAAGGTGGTTCTCTGAGTGGTTCAGGAATTTGCGATAAGGGTAGACAGTATGCTTGCATGGAAGTCCTACAATGTACAACTCCCTCCTCCTCAAACTAAACCACAAAAAAGGGGTATTTATAAGCTTGATATTACCTGATTAAAGTAATCGCGAAGCATTTAAAGATAAGAGATCAAAGTCAAATTCTGGACAAATCACAGTATACAAACCAAATGTTTGAACAGTAAATACACACCACATTAAGCTCCATATATGCATTTTAATTGACTTTAAAACCATAGTCCAATATAGATTCAAATGTCAACAACTCAAATATACATGAACTTTTTCGGGGATAATTTTTTAAATAATACTTCTGGAGTTTTCTAACAAGAGTACAGGACTAAAATCATCCAGATCGAAGTGAAAATGAAAAGGTTATCATTGCATAAAGTCCATCTCAAAAAACCATTAAATTTATCATTTAGAGGAAAATAGCATTGTGTTAGTCAAGGATAACATTTTAGGTAGACCTTTTCATTTTGTTTCTATTAGTTTTGAGTTACAATCTGCTCAAATAATGATACCTCTCCAATTTGAAGCCGGATTCATTCAAACCATCTTGGACATGCAATTTAAAATTTTCTTTGACTCCATCATCAATTAATTCATGTTTTTTGCTTTCAACGTCGAACATCTTGTAACTATCTTCTTCTTTTGTTGTCTCAAATTTCTTAACTGCTATTGCTTCAACTACAAGAAGTGGAGCAACACAAATTTTCTTTCAATCAATCTCCATAACTTCACTTGGTAATTGAACAAAATTTTGATCTTCCTCCTTATTTATTTCATTCTTCTCCACTTCTAGGCAATTTTTCTCAGATTCTGATTCATGGACAAATTTTTTTTTTCTTCTTGTGTAAACTTGACCATTGCAGGAGGAGGTCGAGGCTTTGAAAACAAAGATAAATTGGTATAGGCCTGAACCTTTGTAAACCTTGGCCGATAATCCTGGTACGGCTAAAATTGGTCTCCTCATACTCCTCATAATCTAGTGGAGGAAACTTCGCTTTCAAAAGACGTTTGATCTTCAACCAAGAACTTATCGGTGCTTTTCTTTGTCGCGCACAAGTAACCTGCAACTGTTCCCACCAATTAAAAATTCTTCCCTTCAATTTGTATGCAATGAGTGCGACCTTCTTATCCTCTGGAATCCCCATGTAATCAAAGAAACTCTCAAAATCTTCTTGCCAATCTAGAAAATCTTCAACATGAAAGAGACTGTCAAAATTGGGAAGGTCAATTTTCATTCAAAAATTCCTAGAATCATAATCTTCATGATTGGAATATCTTTGTGTATTTCTGTGACCCCCAACCACATGTTCCTCATAGGCTAATTGACTATGCGGAGGGAAGGGGTTTCGACTACGAACAGGACGAACACGATCTACATCGTCGTTGCGCAACCTGTTGTTATCGCGGTTCTGCTCTAGACCTAACTTAAGCCTAGCAAGCATTGATTGAATATCTTGCAGCGTTCGCTGGGTTTCACGTTAGCAATCTTGAAATTCGGCTTTAGAAAAAGCCACTCTATGTCGATCTTCGTCGCTATAGAGGTTGCGATGAAAACGATCACCTACCATCAGATGATCAGACCAGGAAAAGATAAGGCTCTGATGCCAACTAACGTAAGCGGAAGCTATATTTGTTCACAAAGAACAATAAACTACTTTGAATCCACAAAGTAACAACTTTGAATCCACAAAGCAAGAGATAAGTTCAAAGAAAATCTTATATTGTATTGAATAATTGAATGAATGATTCTGCTATCTGCATTACATATATTTATAATGAAAGGAAACCTTAATTCATATGGAAATGAAACTAACTGCAATACGAAACCTTATAACATAAGGAAACCTAATTTCGAAAGGGCACTAATACTCGAAAATAAGCCTAAAAATAAAGTTTCTCTAAAAATTCCGAAAAAATAGAATACGAAACTTAATCAATAAAAACTACTAAATCTAAAATTTGAGATAAATCTGACTTCGTTTAGGCCTTAGACAAAAGTCCCGAAATAATCAACAGGCCTTCAATAATGTAATAAAACGGGATTTCGGAGTCCTAAACAAAAGTTTTCAGCCGAAAACCAACATGGCCCACAAGCTAAAGCTAGTAGGTTTTTCTTAATGCATCGTTTCCACCCGAAAAACACTCTTATTTTGTCGAAAACGGACTTGTTGGTCTCATTGAATTTCTGTCCTGCATCAGTAAAAGCCAACTTTTATCCCTCAAAGCTCTACATTTATTTTGGTGATTTGATTTTTTTATCACCTTCTTTGAACCCCACCTGAGGCTTTTCTCAATACAACGACGGGGTAATGAGACTTTGGAAATTTAGAATAATGAGCTTTGGAAATTTCCATCTTTTTAGTTTATTTTTCAGAAAGCGAAGCTTTCCTACTAAGATAAAACTCGATGATCCCACCACCATGTCCTCCTCCCACTAAGACCGCACCATACCCTGAAAATCCACCGCTCTAAGCCACATGTTCTCAAATCTGAAAGGGTACAAAGAGGTGTCAAACCTCCACAGTCCAAGACCAAAGGAATATGGTCCGACGTCACCCAAGCCAAAACAGCCCGAACTGTGTCCGGGAACTTCTCCTGGACTCCGCTCTTATTGCCAGTGAATGTGTGGATTTTAGGCTTAGTAGCGGGGTTCCTAGAGTTTTGTGTAAGCTGGATATCGAGAAAGCCTATGATCATGTTTACTGGAGCTTTTTGTTCTATTTGTTAGAAAGGATGGGTTTTGGAGAGAGATGGAGGAGATGGATTGAAACATGTGTTTCGTCTGTCAGATTTTCGATGTTGGTCAATGGGTCTCCATTCGGGTTCTTTGGTAGTTCTCGTGGCTTGAGGTAAGGGGACCTTCTCTCCCCTTTCTTGTTCATTATTGTTATGGAGGCTCTTAGTAGGTTGATGAGGAGGGCTGTGGCCTTGGGGCTCATACGAGGCTTCAAAATTGGTCCAGAGGCAGCTCATCAGTTGGAGATCTCTCACTTGCTTTTTGCGGATGACACTCTGGTTTTTTGTGAGGCAAAGGTGTCCCAATTGAGAAACTTGAGATGTGTCCTGGTTTGTTTTCAGGCTGTTTCTGGGTTGAAAGTTAACGTGGGAAAGAGTGTGCTTGTCCCTGTGGTGGAGGTTTAGGAGGTGGATTCTCTTGCAGCTGATTTAGGATGTGGGACGAGCTCTTTCCCAATTTTTTATTTGGGATTGCCTTTGGGTGTCTCGTCAAGGAGGGTGGGAAGTTGGGACCCGGTGATTGAACGTTTCGAGAGAAGGTTGGCTAGGTGGAAAAAGCAATATCTTTCAAAGGGAGGTAAAGTTACTTTGGTGAAGAGCACTTTATCCAGTCTTCCAACTTATTTTCTTTTGCTGTTCCAGATCCCCTCTTCTATTGTTGAAAGACTTGAGATGCTTCAACGGAACTTTCTTTGGGGCGGTCTGGGGGAGGAGTTTAAATATCATCTTTTTCGGTGGGAGCAAGTATGCAGGCCCTTTAAGTTAGGAGGTCTTGGGTTTAGGAGATTGGCCCCTTTCAATAGGGCACTCCTAGGCAAGTGGCTTTGGAGGTTTGGCAGTGAAAGACATAGATTATGGTGGAAGGTTGTTTCATGTCGGTTTAGGGAGGAGAGAAGGGGACGGTCTGCTAGGCCGGTCAGATCTACTGTCGGCGTGGGGGTGTGGCATTCCATTGGGAAGGGTTGGGATGAGTTTTCTAAACATATTAGATTCAGAGTTCAGGAAGGTAGGAAAGTTCGGTTTTGGGAGGATCCTTGGTGCGAGGACTGTCTTTTGTCTTGCCTATTCCCAAGGTTGTTCAGGATTGCTGTGGATAGACATGTTTTGGTTGCTAACTACTATTGTCTTGATAGCGATAAGTTGTCTTGGGATGTACAGTTTCGGCGATCCTTTCAGGATTGGGAGTTGGATGACGTCACTTGCTTGCTGGGCCTTTTGTATAGACAGGAGGTGGATGGCACTGGGTTGGATTCTCTGACTTGGGTGCTTTCTTCGCAGGGGACTTTTCAGTTCAGTCCTTCTTTTTCTGCCTTTCCAGTTTTCACGGTACCACTTTCCCGTGGAAAACGGTTTGGCATTCAAAGGCTCCTCTTAGGGTGGCCTTCTTTGCTTGGACTGCTGCTTGGGGTAAGATCTTGACTCTGGACAATTTGAGGAAGTGAAAGACAAGTCATTGTCAACCGATGTTGTTTGTGTATGATTGATGGAAAGTCTGTGGATCACCTTCTCTTGCATTGCCCCGTAGCTCATGACTTGTTGGAGTCTTATTTTGGGTCTTTTTTAGCGTCCAGTGGGTTATGCCCCGAACCTCACGGGGCTTGATTGATATTTGGAGGGGCCAAAGGGTGGGAGCGCGTGTTCGCGATTTTTGGAGGGTGACCCCCCTTTGTGTTTGGTGGAGCGTCTGGAAAGAGCGGAATAGAAGATCTTTTGATGGGAAGGAGATCTCCATTGGGGCGTTGAAGTTTTCTATTATTTGTTCTCTTTTTAGATGGGGTTTGGGGAGAGATTGTTTATCTGTAGATGAGATCATGGACTTTTTGGAGTCTTTGGGTTCATAGGTCCTCCCCTTTCCCTATTTTTTCTTTTTATCGGTTCTTGTACAGCTCTTGGGATGTGTTCCCCTTTTGAACGCTTTCTAATACATTTTTACTGATAAAAAAAAAAATGTTCCAATACCTTTTTTTTTTTGGGTTGATTCTTGTAGCACAACTATGGAGTCAATGATACAATATATATATATTTTTATACCTTTCCTCACATAAAAACCATCACCAGTTCGTTAGTAATGGCTCGATTAAGGATGGACAAATGATATTGATGCTCCACTTTTGTACTCACACCCCACACAATTGTTCTTCAAAAAATTTCTCTTCATGATTATCTAAAAGAGTATTTCTACTTTTGATGGAACACTGTCATTTATTTCGTAAAAATGATCAATTGGACTGCAAGAGTACAAAAGTGGAATCCAAAAAGGCCTCTCTGCCATGATACCATCTGAATGACAAGTCTTCTCTCTCTCTCTCTCTCTCTCTCTCTCTCTCTATATATATATATATATATATATATATATACTTTTTTTGGTCGGTAGGACTCTTCTCATTTGTATTTGTCTAAAATTGAAAGTAACTGTCGATCACTGTGATTTTGTAAGTTGCTCCAATTAAGGTGGGATAATTAATGAAAACTAGCATTTTCCTTGTGAAATTGGCTTATGTTTTCATGCATTATGCTTGAACAGCGTTCTTTAAATGTCTCTCCTTGTCTCTCTCCAATTATCCATAAGGAATTTGTGGATTGTTACATTCTTCCCTTCCTGCCTCCTTTTGTGAAGATTTCTTTGTTGCATGATGAACAAGAGAACACCCTCTTTAGACACGCTTCAACGTATCCCACTACATAACTGTTGCTAAGGCACCGAAAGAAAGGAAGAGCCTCAGATGCCCATTCATTTATCTCAATGTAGATATTCTTCCAAATTCATTCATTTGTATAACTGTAGCAATACGAAAATAGGAAAAAACAAAAACACATCCATATATTCTGGCATTTTGTGGCGGGACAAAAACTTCTGCCTGGTTGTGTGATAGACAAGGTGACAAAGTTATGCATAAAAGCAAGTATCTTGACTCAGTTCAAATGCGTGGGTGAATTCAACGATTGAGATATTTGTTATCTATGTCTAGAAAAAATCACCAGGACTGCCATTTTTAAGAAACCAAATTCTCAACTCTTATTATGGTCAAAATGATGTGCAGGTTGCTAAATCTGCCATTTTTGAGACATTGGACATGTGAAGAGATCTGCCCGAGATTCATAATTTTGTGGAGGAATAATCCATTAGACATGGTAAGAAAATGTTTCCATATGTCGCCCACATTGTAATGTTATCTCAACAGCAGTATAATAAGTATTCAGACCAACAACGGCATGATAATGACAGGCTGACAGCAAGAATTCAACCCAACCTAACAAAACATGCTTTAAGGCCACATTTTTTTAGTTTTTGTAATCATATGCCAATGTACCTTCTGCACTACCTTAAAAATATCTTTCCTTTTCATTTTTCTATTGTCCTTGAAACACTCTCAATTTCAGATTGTTTCACTCTTTCTGATTGGTCATGTTACTTGTCTTAATTGTGTATACCCAAACTATCCTTACTAGTTTTTTCTTTGCCTTTTCACAGTTGTGCTCCTCCAACTAATTACAAAATGCTCTACATATTTTTCCTTCTTTGTGTCATCTACATTCATCTCACTTTGTTGTGTTCTGTCCCGTGAAGTATAGTTTTTTTTAAAAGTAACTCTATATCATGTCCTGTCAAATGTTTCCCTCCTGGTGGATCATCAGGACTTAAAAATAAATGGTCACTCTTTGGTATCTCTTGTCCATTAATATTTGATGCATCCTTATAGTTTTTTAACGTGCTATGGTTACATCTTATATTTTACCTTGGTTTTGCTCATCTTAAACCTCGATTGTAAGACTTCTAATAATCCAACTTAGTAATTGCCCGGCATTCGGAGGTAAGGGCAATCTGTCTTTTCTTTCTTATGTTGGACCGCACCTTCATCCTTCAAAATTAATCCTTGTTAATGAATGAATAAAAATGACTAAGATGATTAAAAAGCTACAGAGCATAAACCAAACTGAGAATATGTACAATTGTATCTAGTAAATGATATTACTTATTATGCCCAATAAGTAGTGTGTAGTCAGTATGATTATGCATGAAACTGAAATTTTTGGTGCCTTCGTTGACTCAATTTAGGTTCCAAAAATTGTTTCTGTGTTGAAAGTTGGATTACAGTTACTTTTTTTCTTGCATAATACCTAAACAAAAAAAAATTATAGGAAATGACATTTTCTTTTCCTTTTTTTTTCTCCCTTTCTTTAAGATTCTCATAAATTGATTTATTCTTTCTTTGTAGTGGAAAAGATTGTGGAAGCTAGAGGGTGGCATCAGTTAAATGCAAGTAGGTATTGATAATTTCTTTTCAGTGGAAAACTAATTACTACTTCTTAGATGAAAGACATGTTGAATGCTATTATTGAATCAATAGTTAAAGATATAAAATAGTATTGTTCCCATGATTCAGAAGGATTACATATCAGTTTAGAAATTCTTGTATTATTGACCTGTTTTGGTAATTACGCTTATACTATTGTCTTTTCCAAAATTTTGACCATTTGATGTAGTTAGATATAGGAAATATCTGGAGCCAGTAAGATTTTTTGTGTTTACTGTTCATACATTTGGTTTATATACTGTGGTTGGTCCAGAATGTGACTTAAATTTCTAGACTTATGTGAATATTAAGTATCTTAAAGTAACAAAGGAACAGACTTTTAGTCCACCGCAAAGTTGATGAAACCTCTTCCATACCAACTTCAGTACTCACCACTATTAATCACTAAAATGCACGGTATTTTCTTTTACTAGCTTTGGAATCTAGGTTCGATGGATTATTCAAGTTAGTTAATGAATCATTTTGTTTAGTAGTTCTTTCTAATACCTCGTTATCTTTTTAGAAAGAGAAGGGAAAAAAGTATGCTGCTAGTTAGCATTATTGTTTGATTCTAATGATAAACAAACACACAAGTTAATTTGAATTAGTTAATTATTTAATTATATTACTGTTATCTTCAGTGCAATTGGTTGCTTGATCAAATATGATTTTGCATTAAAAATATAATGATTGCTTCTTTACGTATATGTCAAAATATAACCATATAATCTGACAGATTCTGTTTGGTCGTGTTACCAATTTAGCCACGTGTTGCTTTTTCTTAGCACCAGAAGTGGGCTGGATATGAGAAAAAAAGTCTTGGTCTTGGACCAATAATTGGGCAATGATATGACCTCAAAGCTAAATCTGGGTTTTGGATGAGGTCTATTTGCATCCAAGATGAAGTGATCTATATCGTCCATGGTCTAAATAATGAAAATTTTAAAATTAACATTGATATAGTTTCATTAAACTCTTTTTAGTTAAGTACCAAACCATTTGCAAACTAAACCATAGAAAACCATGATGTTTGAATCATAATGATACTAGGTCTAAAAGAGTACAAAGTTGATGATGCAACCTTTGTAGATCTATACACATTCAAAAAGAAAGTCAAAATGGTTCATTTTTCAATGACATCTGAGTAATATACATTAACATAGAAAAGGATATCAACATTTTAGTTTTTCTTTTTTTTTTTATAATTTTTTTATAATTTTTTTTTATATATATCCTTCAAATTAAGATATTGAGGCTCAAGTACAATAAGTAAATTGATCATTTCTAAAAAGAAATAGAAATGAAGAAAAATGCCACTTTTGTATAATAAATTGTTCATCTTCTTCAATCTAAGTTTTGTAATGGAATGAATACAGTGTTAAACAATTAAAAGATATATAGCAAATATCTGATGTAGATTTTAAAAGGCGGCTATGTAATATTTAAGTTTGCATACCTGGTGAGTTGATATTGATGGTTCACTCATCACTTTCTGCAAGTTGAAATGAAATCTAAAGTATAAGTTTCCTATCTATTGTTTTTATGGTTCAAAAATGGAGGCTGCGAAGTTACTTTAACTTAAATGCACATATGACTTTGAGATTATGGACAATGAAGTTTTTGCATTTGCAAAATTTATGTCATGGTTGTATTAAATCTTTACTTACTATTATGTATCGCATCATCATAGTGTAAATGATGTTGTGAATACTTATGAAAGTATGTATGGCTATTATGATTTATAAATTCATAATAATAATTAAAATTCTAAAATGAAGATAAGAATAAATATTACATTTGTAGTAAGAATGTATGAAAAATTATTTTCTTCCTCCTCAGTTTGGTAGGTTAAATAAATAATCAAAAGTAATCAATGTTAATTGATAATGTAATTATTTGCATCATTAATACATTATGGTCATTTGATGAGTTGACTTGGAGGCATGCACTCATCATAATTTTCATATGAAGTTGAAATAAATCATATGAAAATTTTACATGGTTATTGCTATTATAATGTCTTTATTTCAATCATTATGTTGTTCAATAGGGCAAGTTGGCAATGCATTTGTTGGGGGCGGGGGGAGATGCAAACAAACAAAACTCTCAACTCTTATTAGGTCATAAAGTCCAACTCTCTGACCAAGAATATCAATTAATAAATCAAGGGCTTGTTTGGTTGCAGTTTAAGATATTTCTGTATAATATCTCGTGTTATTTTGTTTTGTGGTTTCAGTTGTTTTTCTTTATGTTTTTCCAATTGAAATTTCTATTATTTTGGCCCTATTTTTTCTTTTTTGTTAAGCACACCAAACATTTATGTATTCTCTATTGCTTCTGCCTTCCTAGTTTTTTTGGGAAGCATTTTAAACATTCAAATAAGCTCTAATTGTGACCAAGTTCTTCTATAATATACCAAATTATGCTCCAGGATGCTTTAAATTATGAAATTATTCACTGTTCTAATACATTCTGAAGAATATCAGGGAAAAAATAAAATAAAAAAAGAAAAAGGAAAAAGAAAAACTCTCTCCGTAGAATCAAAATAAAAGAAATAACAGTCACCAAGAGTTCTGCAGTGGTTTCTCCAACACAGCTGAAAGGTACATCTCCTTGAGCTCTTCTCCACGATCAAGCTTCCGTCCCACTACCCACTTCACCTTCTTGAATCCAATGCTGTGGATAAGTGGCATATAAACATTCTCCAACTGGTCACCCACACAGAAGAAATGGTCAAGCCAAAACAACCCTCCTGGTCTAAGCACCCTGTAGATGTCAAAAAACATGAAGTGTAGCAGTGTTGTGGGTATCCAGTTACTCAACACATGCATCGAGTGCACAATATCCAGCGTGTTATCGAAGAAGGGAAGTCTCTGAGAAATGCTTATATATAATGGTATGACCCCTCTTGCTGCTATAAAATTGTTGAAAGGACCATTCAAATTCATGGAAGTTGTAACAATGGTTATGTTCCTTTCCCTCATTCTTATAGCAAATGTAGCCACACCACCTCCAATGTCAAGCCCTATACGGATTGTGCCAGCCTTCTTCATTGCAAGTACTTCATCGATTGAAAAATCAAGCTCCCTACCAACATTACTTGTCCAACGGATCTTTTCTGGACCCTGAAGATCGAAACAGTCTTTACAATCATCAAAGCCCTTCTGATTTTTCTTGCGGTTGATGAGACATGAGTAGTCCTTGCAAGTATATGCTGTCCAAACCACGGATGAATCAGATGGCGTGGTCCAATAGCTTACAGGAATAGGGTAGGGCTCAACATATTCTGGCGGAGAAGCTGGACGACAACGACGGCGAGGCAGTGGCTCACAGCCTTTGAGAAGGAGCTTCTGGGCTAGGATTTCATCATCTGGGCAGGACCCATTGACCGTGTATGACATGTAGCGCTGTAGTATTTCAGGAAAGAGGGTGCAAGGGGCACCAACTGGAGGTAATATTTTGTCAGAATCAAAGTTAGTGTTGAACCCGAATGGGAGTGTTTGTGGAGATGTGAAGGCTAGGTATTCAGGTGGGAGGTCTGAAGTAGTTTGAGATTTCTCAGACAGTTCAACTACATCGTGTCTAGGAGCTAAGTCGGCGATGGCAGGGGCAGTGGTGGTGATAATGGTGGTACCGGTGTTGGCAGTGGTGGCGGTAGGATTGAAAGAGCAAGAGGAATAAAAGGTGGCGGAAATGAACAGGGTGAGAAGATTTGAAGACAACAGGAGGAAAAGAAAGAAGAGATTGGAGACAGATTTGGGCTTGTGAGGGGAATCCATAGGTGATGTTTCTGATTGATACAGATTACTTAGAGTTGAAGATGAAAATGTTGGTGTTAAGAGTAGGTAAGCTTGGGAGATGTCCTATTTGCTAACTAAAATAGATTAATGGGGCTCTCATTTTTAGTCAAGCATTGATGGTGTTGTCAAGAGGCATCTCATTTATAATACAAATTAGGTGATGTTGATCATCACTGTTTATATTAAAGTAATGTAGCAGGTGCTAGAGCTTGTAGAAGGTCAACTCTGGGTGAAACTCAATGAAGTCCAACTCCATAAATTAATATGCTTCTCAGAAAACCAAGATCTTGTTTTTCGCGGCTAATGTAAGCAAAAACTCGTTTGATAAATAGATTTTCCCCCCCTTTTCTGGGATTTTAATTCAGAACTAATGCAAACTATTATTAGGTGCTCTTGATCATCACTGCTCAAAGATGCACATTTGACAAATGCTATTATTTTACATTTGATGATGCTAAATCTTAAGTGAGATGTATAAAATTTCAGTTTTTGTTTTACCAAAAAATTCTCTCTCCCTCTCTCAATATATATATATATATATATATAGATAAATATATGTACTTATGTGTATATGCCTTCCTGACTAAAGATGCACGTTTGACAAATACTATTATTAGGTGCACTTGATCACCACTGCTTAAAGATGTACATTTGACAAATGCTGTTATTTTACATTTCATGATGCTAAATCTTAAGTGCGATGAATAAAATTTCAGTTTTTGTTTTATCAAAAAATCCTCTCTCTAATATATATACACACACACACACATGTGTATGCCTTACTGACTAAAAAGATGCACATTTGACAAGTGCTATTATTGTAAGCTGATCCGCCCAAGGAGGTGGATCTGAGGATGATCATAAATTCAATAGCCATAAATTTCAACTTAGTAAACTTATTTTTTTCTCTCTCAAATTTAGTGTTGTTTTATGGGGATGGGTGTCATTAGTAAATACATAACAGAAAATCCACATGCATTGTCTTGGATGGATGTGTCCTAGTTTTGAATTTGAAATGGTTGTAGGTTTCTTCAAGCAGGTCTATTGAGGAAAACAACATTTTAGTGTGTGTGTGTGTGTGTGTGTTTTTTTTTTTTTTAAATCACTTTAGCATGTGTTGTGCACATCAAAGACCATCTAGTATCAGAAAAGTTCTCTCTCTATGCCTTCTTCCTTTCGGGGTCTCTGGACCGGTTTGTCCCTTCAGACTCACAATTGCTATAAATTTTGTTTTAGGTTGTGGGTTGAGGGATGTTCTTGTGCACGCACTCGCACTGTTTGTATAACTAGAAAGTAAAAGAATCATGAATGTCTAATTATAAAAGGAATTCAAAGGGAGACATAGTGGCAATCCTTTCTGAAATATGGTGGAGAGAAAAGAAGGAAATTGATTGTTTTATTTTGTGAGTAGTAAGGGCAAAATAGAATTCAATTTGTTTTGGTAATTTATTAATCCTGTCCTTTCCTCTAATCCATTTTTTCCCTCGTAATTTTTTTAAAAAAAAAACAATATAAGCAAACCCTTCTTCTTCTTTTTTTCTTTTTATTTATTTATTTTTATTTTTTTTGTATTTTGAACATATAATTATGTAAGAATAATGTTGCAACTGATGATCGATTTTTTTAAAAAATTCTTAATTAGTAATGAAAAAAATATAATCTCTTTTCTCTCAAAGTGTTTAAATCAATTATGAATTCATCATAATATGAAGTCTTTTATCATTTTTTTTATTATGTAATTGTTTGTTGTCTGCTCTTTATTCTTTAAAGAGCGTGTGTGTATATATACACATGAAACAAGTAGATAAAAATGATATAATAAAGCACGCCAAATTGCATGACAATGGTAGTCACAGCTTTTTTACTTACATATAGCATTCCATTTGAATGAAAATTAACAACTTATTATTATCAATGTTTTTCTTAGCTTTTGCTCATGATTGATGGGGTGAGAATAAAATTTGTTTGAAGTATTGGAGGAAATTTAAAAACATTAATGAAATGACAATTAATTGTGTTTGTATCGTTTTTTATGCAAAACAACTAGACTACTGTGTTTTTGGTTTTACTCTGGACAAGATAAAACCTATTTTTGGATGTTCATTGGCTTAATTGGATTTTGAAAAACAGTTAGATAAATCTTAAATCACAATCCAAGACACACATGTCTCTGCAAAACCTTACAACTTTTGAACAGGTTGGTACCTAAAAATTTTTAGTGTTATATTATGGTGTATTTTTTTTTAATTTTCTTATGATATTTTTATTTTAATTTTTTTTTTTTCAATAACCATACATGTATGGTGACGTTCACATGGTTCAATTTTCAATTACATATAAAAATAAAAGAGTTGAACCAAACATTCCGGTGAACAAATCACCTACTTAATATTAACTTGGTTTTAAATAATTAAGCTAGTAAAAAAACTCCGACTTTGTTTCTTCTTGGGTAATAAAATCTGTTCCAAACTTGATAGCAATGATTCAAGGTGGGTTGAGTCTAAGGTTATTAAGTAGTATTCTAAAATATCTCATTTCTAAAGGTGTAGTGGGATTGTCAATGTCTAACTTTTATCCCACCTATGTGATACAAATTCTCTTCCCTTATCCCACTATTGAGGTAAAAAAAAAAAAAACTACCCAAGTCAAGAAATGTAATTAAATAACCAAATCAAATGCTAACTTTCACCCAAAGAAGCTCACGATAATGTGTTTATTTAATTTATTAAATAATAATAACAATAATGCATTTCTTTAATTTTATTACAATAATTTGAAGTATGGGATGACATTAAAAAACATATGACTCATGGATTAACATGGAGAAGATTGAATAAAAATACAAAAGTGGATCGATGTCAGACCTCTAGTGTTGTTGGGCCTCCTTCGAAGGCCCATCTAGCTAATTGCAGTTATGGAGAGGAATTGATATATATAGTTGATGTGAATAGGGATCAAGCATTTCACTAAAATTTGTCATTTGTTTTCTAGGAGGTTTAAATGGTAATTAACCAATTGGGATTAACCATTTCACTGAAAAATGTCATTGTTACAGAGAAATTGATAGTTGAACAGTCATAGTTACAGAGGAATTGATAGTTGATACCAAATGGATCAAGCATTTCACATTATTTGTTTTCTGGGAGGTTTAAATGATAACTAACCAAGAGAAGATGAATAAAATAAATTTAGTTGTCTATTAGTATAGCTAATTGTATACATAATTTGATGTTTTTCATTGTATATATCGTTTCTTACTGAGTAAAATTATGATTCACAGTCGCGGTGTAACGGATTCGGACAAAATCAGTATAAACTGACCGATACGGATCGCGTATTGAATTTGAAAAAGAATCGCATATCGGACGATATGACAAACCATGATAAAGATTTATAAAAAAGTTGTTACCACAAATACAGCGAACTTAAGAATAAATCAAGAAATACGGCAAAAAAAATAATTCCACCAAACACAGAGAACACAAAAATTTAGCGTAAATCGGCAAAACTGTGGAGATCCAGCGAATATTTTCATTATGCGAAAAATAGGAGATTACAAGTTTTCAATCTCTCACTCTCTTTCTCTGCGATTTTCAGTATCTCAATTTTTTCTCACTTTAAAACCTAAACGTCCTTATACATTGAGTTACAAAACTGTATAAATTAGAATTTACGATCCACAAACAAAATGAGAGGTCGAGTTGTACCCGACACCAAATTTAAACTACAAACATCACAAAAGTAATTCTAACCAAATATCTAATTTGACATAAATTAATAAAACCTATTTTGTTTGCAATAGTTTAGCAAACTATTGGAATGGGTAAAACATCCTTTGTTTGCAATAATTTAGATAATTTAGCAAAACTAATTGTTCTTTCAATTAATGAAAAAAGTGGACTACTCTAAAATATATATATACATATATATATATATATATATATATATATATACAATCATTTTTGAATTAAATTTAAAAAATATTGGAGCAGATGGATAAGTTGAATTTACTGACAATTATTAATAAAATTGAAGTATTACAACTATGTTCCAATGACTTTTTTTTTTTTTGCATTACATTGGTGGTCACAACTTTTTTTATCAAAACGGCATGCCATTTGAATGAAGATTAACAACTTATTATTATGGAAGCCTAAATATGTTTTCTTAGCTTTGTTCATAAAGTGAAAGTACTTTAAAAGTTGTTTAAAATATTAAAGAAAAAAAAAAATAGATAATTTGAAGTATAGGAGGAAATTAAAATACACATTAACCATGAATTACACTCATCAACTTGATTTCTACTCATTATTCTCAATTGAATTTTACAGATTAGATTTAAATATTAAATACCTGAATGCATATTGAGTTTAAAAGCCAAAATCAAACGTACATGCTCCTTATTTTTATTTTAATATTTTTATATATTTTTAATTTTATTCTATATTATTTCCCTCCCTCTTATTTTAGTTTTTACCCATACATGCAGTAAAAACGATTCTAGTCTTTTCTAACTTGCTTTCCGGCAAAAGCGATGCCTGCAACATAGTTCATTTTTTTCAACAACCATGCATTTATCATGATCTTCACTTTATTCAAATCTCAAATGGTAGACTCAACTCTGTAACGTAATTCTCAATTATAAGTGTCTATTTTTTTAAAATCAAAATCATATTAATACCGAAAAATATAATTCAAAAGTTCAACCGAACATTCTATTGAATAAAGTACCAACGTAATATTAACTTGAATTTAAGTTCCTGAATGTTTTTTTAAACAATAAAGTTTTAGAGACAACCATGGGTTTTGAGTTGTTTGGCTGACTAGATCAAATTAAAAACAAACCAAATATTGCCGATAAATAAGACTCAAAACCAAACATGCCCAAGTCAATAAATGTAATTTAATAACCAAATCAAATACTAACTTTCCCTAAAGAAGGTCAGCGGAGCCTCCATCTGGCAAGTTTGGGAGTTCGAGGAAAAGAAACGAAAAGAAAATAAGGAGAAATGTTATTTTTGCTATAAATATATTGAGGAGGCAAGCAGGGGTTATTAAAAATAAGATTACTATAATGCATTTGTTTTTTAAAAAATTAGAAAACTGAAAATATTATTAAATATTATATTCAAAATACGTATTACACCTATTTATCCCAATTCATCTTTATATATATATATATATATATTACTTTGGCAAAAAAATACACACTCACATGTACTTTTATTTTGAAATATGAGAAATGACCACTAAGTTATACCATCTTTAGCTTTCATTTTGGTATATTACATCAATACATGAAAACGTAAGCAATTCCAATAACATCATTGTTTCTCACTCAACATGGTAATACTATTCACGAAAACGGAACACGGATACGTCGAAACATCAAATTTTAAAAAGAATAAGACACAGGTACGACTTGAATACGACTATATATAAATATAAATTTTTATTTATATACTTTTATCGATTAATAATATTATAAAAAAATTTGATTCATTTATAATTTTTATAAATTATTCCACCATACTTTGCCATTATAAAATTTTTATTTTAAATAAACAAATATCATTTATTTTAATTATATACTTTTGTTTTATATACTCAAGATCCATAAAAAGAACTCTAAGATTATGTATGGGACTACAATTGGCAACTTTAAGTTTTTTTGGAAAGGTGTAACAAATTAATTATGATTGTTACCACCTATGTCACACAATTCTTTTCAATAGGTGTCGTTCCTACATTCCGAGCACGATCTCTCTCTCACGCTCGGCACACGCTTTTGTTCAAATTCTCACTACTTATGATCAGGGCCGGCCCTGAGATTGAAAAATTCTTGAAAGGCCCTAGGCAAACTTTAAATGTGAGGCCCTAGTAGTAGATGATGGCCCATCATTCTTGCTGCATTTGGAGGCTGGCCTATCATTCTTGCTCCATTTTGATGGCCCTAAATTTGGAGGCGAGTTTCAATTGCTAAGGTTTGGTTATAAATATTTTTTTTTGTGGCCCATCATTCTTGAGGTCCTTTATTTGTTGCATTTTGGTTATAAATTTTTTTTTTTTGGTGGCCCAACATTAATGGGCCTACAAAATTTGAGACCCCTTAAATGATTTGATACATTTAGTTACAATTTTTTTTTTTTTTTTTCTTTTGTAGCCCATCATACATAGGCCTATAAAATTCTGAGGCCCCCAAAATTCTGAGGCCCTAGGCGACCGCCTTGGGCCAGGGCCGGCCCTACTTATGACTTAATTCTATCGGTGCACTTCCAGCTTCCGCTCCCTCTTTATGTGATTTAGGTTACCACACAAACGTTTAACTGAGTCTTCAAAAAGTTAATATTGAATCATATCTTTTGTATATATCTTCGTACATCTTTTTTGACTTTATAATTTTAAAACATAATCTAAGCATATGTTATCTACACATTCCCAAGGAATTGTCCTCACTGTATGTTAAAGTAAATATTAGAGACATATACTTTCCCAAAAAATATATATTACACACACACACACATATATATATATTCACTTGGACAATAGTAACTTCCAATAATTTATACAAAAATCATCAGTATGGCCTTTTGAGATGCAAGAAATTATTTGATGAATCAAAACAGTCAAACCGACCTTTGTAGCAATTATTCTATTATTGGCCTATACATGCAGTCAAAAGACTCTCAAGGTCTTTTCTAGCTTGCTTTCCAAGCCAAAGCTATGACTGGTTTCTCAACTTTTTATTTTTCATTTTTTTCAACAACAATGCATTTATCGTGACCTTCACATTATTCAAATGTGAAATGGCTGACTCAACTCTCTAACATAGTTCTAATTAGAAGTGTCGCTATTTTTTCTAATCAAAATCATATTAATACCGACAAATAATGTGAAATGGCTGACTCAACTCTCTAACATAGTTCTAATTAGAAGTGTCGCTATTTTTTCTAATCAAAATCATATTAATACCGACATATATAATTCAAAATTTCAACCAAACATTCTAGAGATTAAAGTACCAACTTAATATTAACTTGAATTTGTGTTCCTGACAGGTTTTTTAAAATAATAAAGTTTTAGAGACAACACAGGTTTTGAGTTGTTTGCCCCTCTGAATATTTTTTTTTACTAATATACTATTTTATTTTTTCCTTTTTTTAATATATACCCATAAAATATTAATTGTTAATGTACCCACTGAAATTATTACAAAATTTCAATTTTGCCCCCTCTACCTAAAGTTCTGGTATGCCTGAGGAGGGGGAAAGTTTGTACCAGCTGCGCTATTACCTATTTGGTTGAGCCCACTTAATTTCAATTTTGAATGTCTCAAAGTCCAATATTACTTAATTAAAACCATACATTACCCAATAATCTAATTGATTTTATTTCTATTTTTTAACTAGTCTATTCTTTTAGATTATGGACACTCTCTGTAAAATCAACCCATTCAATGAGTCAACAAAAGGGTAATATATATACAAATATAGTTTGTGAGCATGCTTGTGCTTATCTATTACTTATAAATTAAATTTTACTTATATACTTTTGTTTTATATACTCAAGATCCAACAAGAGCCTGTAAAACTATGTATAGGATTACTGAATTGGCATCTAAAATTTAAAACTTTAATACGTTGATTTGATGCTCTCAAACGCAACGTGAGAATTCTTTTAAGATTGGTAGTACACAAATTAATTTAGGTATAACAAATTAATTAAGATTCCTTTAATACTTCAACAAGTTTTACTTTCACTTCACGAGCAAAGCTAAGCAGAGTCTGCAGAGACTTCATGCTAATAAGTTGCAATTCTTCATTTAATTGAAATGCTGCTATAGAGTCTGTAAAATAAACACATTTAGCGGGTCATAAGAAAAGGTAGGAAGAAGAATATATGTATGTATGTGTATAATTTGTATGTTGCAATTCATGAAAAATGTTGGTTCATCAGATTGTGTATGATTGCTATGTTGCAATTTGATATATATATTATGTATTTTCAACATCCATAACAAGATAAAAGATGGATTTAATGACAGCTACCAATAAAAATGAAGTATTATATTTGTGTTCAAAATTTCAAATGAGTTTTTTTTTACATGATATTGATAGTCACAACATTTTACACGTATAACATTTCATTTCATTTGAATGAAGATTAGCAACTTATTATTGTGAAAAACTGGATGTATTACTTTGCTTGTGAATTGAAGAGTAATTAAAATTGAAGTATTAGGGGAAATTAAAAAAGAGACAAACTCATGGAGTAGAATACCACTCATCAACTACCATTTCTATCCATAATTCGCAACTACCCTACCCTATTTATAAATTTAAATAGTGAGGTGATATTGTCAATTGGTGGCTCCATCATTATTGTCGTTCCATTTTAATTCTCTTCTTCGATCACATCATACAGCGCGATACGCTGACATCATCATATAAAAATTACCAATACAAATTATAAAATGTTTTATTTTATTTTTTTTAACAAAATTTACAAAAAAAATAAATAAATAAATTTTAAAAACTATCAACCAATCACGTTTTGTACTGTGTTCTAATTTTCAGATCTCAAAAAACAGAAAATTCTTCCCATAAAACTAACCAAGAAGCTTATAGTTTTAATGTGCCAATCTGATACTCCCACATGCAATACAAAAGGTTTTTTTGGAAGGTATAACAAATTAACATGGGTAAAAAAACTTTTAACACATGAACGAGTCTTCAAAAAGCTAATACATATAAATTAAATTGAACTTGTCAACAAATGAACCAGAATTTCCCGACTCCATAATATTGAATCATATCTTTAGTACTTTATATCCTTGTACATCTTTTTTTGACTCAATTATAAAATATAACCTAATTAAGCATAGCATAGGCTATTTCCACATTTCAAACACTGTATGTTATAGTAAATAATATCTTCACTTGGAAAATAACAACTTCCAATAATTTATCAAAAATCAGTATGATCTCTTGAGATATTTCAAATTATTTGATGAATCAACACAATCAAACCTATCTTTATAGCGATTCAACAGTTTCAACAACTCAGTAACCCTTTCCTTTGTTCTCTCACCACAACCCACCTGCAAAACAACCAACAGCTTCTGAAAACAACCCAATTGAACTGCCTCAACCACAACACCTCCATTTTCATCCCTGCAAAGCTTCCAAAGAACCGAAACCGAAAACTCCGTCGCCGTCTCCGATACTCTCAAAATCTTCTTCACCAACACAGGCGTAGTTAGTGCATGGTTTAAAGCCACTTCTCTCCCTTCATCACACACACACATACACTCCAAAACACCTAGAGCCCTCTCACATATGCCTCTTTCAGCATCCACAACAACTTCTAATATCAATTCAACCAACCCCATCTCCACAAACCTCCTAATAATTGTCATATTCTCACTCGTCGCGGACGGAGAAATCAAGTGATAAATCACCATTAGAGAAGCTTTGGTGGCTTTGGGGCGGATGGGTACCATAATTATCTTGAATAATGCTTCTGCAACGCCTTCAATTTCCGCGAGCGCGTTAACATGTTGTTGATCCAATGAAAGTAGCTTTTCTAGGGCTAAAACTGCGTTTTGCCTTGAAGATTTATCTTCCCCTTTCAAAAACCATGCCATGCAACGTAAAGAAGTGGTTGAACCTAGCTTGGATTGGCCCTCTACACCAAGTGGGAACATCCATGTCAGTGTTGACAAGATCATCTTCAACAAACATTCATGTTTCTCTATCGAAACACTCGCGAATGACTCGAACGAAGAAGACAACACAAAGCCAGTGCCATTCTCAATTACACATCTCTTGTTTTTTTCGCTCTCTTTTGCCCATTTCTCAATCTTTCCCACCAATTCTTCACACTTTTTCTCATCCCCGTGTCTTGTTGAAGACATGATCTTCGAACACACCTCCGAAACCTCCAATTGGGTGATCGGAATCCGAGGCGTTGGGATCCGTTCGACGCCATGAGACCGGTTCTCAACGCACCACTCTTGAATAATCTTACGTATGGCATGGTTTGGGATTTGATCATAACTCCACAACACTTGTTTGGTGACCGGACATGTCGTGTGACCGGTTTCGATCCATTTTTCGATGCTTTCTCGGTCATAGGTGATTCCGGTGGACAGAGTGACAGGATCTTTCATCAATTCAAGAGAGATTGGGCACTGAAAATGGCTAGGAACTGTGATCTCCACGTCGGAATTGGCATCGTCTGAGAGTTTGTTCATACCGGCAAGACGAACAGCTCTTCTTCTTCTCCAATAAAATATCATATCGTTGAGTGTAGCAAGAAACAAAGAACAGAAGTACTACTATAAATCTCAAAGGCTTTTCTATTTGTGTATGTGGTATATATGTTTGTGTGTGTGTCTAGGTTTTATATATCTTTTATAGTAAGGTTGTTTGGATGAGTCAAAGGTTGGAAAAGAGTAAGGGAAAGGGAATCAAATAACAAGTGTAACACTTCATAGCTTTATATGCGCTAGCCGTTAATGAATAGCAAGTGAAATTGATTGGTTTATATATATAGAAAGAAAGCTAGAGAGAGAGAGAGAGAGAGAGAGAGTTGTGTGGGTATGTATGTGACTGTGTATGTGTGTGAGAGAGAGAGAGTTGTGTGTGTGTGTGTGCATGTATGTATTATTTTTATGGAAAAGTTTTAGGTGAGTCAAAGGAGGGGAAACAGTAGGGGGAAAGAAAATTTGAAAGGAAAGATTCAAAATGATAGAGTGGGAAGGTTTAGACGTTGGAGAGATTGAATATTGACCGTTGAAGATTTGAAAATGAGAGTCCAACAATATGTTACATACAATTATTGATTGAGCTGAGTCGGCTGAAGTTTGACTGGAAGACCGAGTCAGGGGTCAAGCCAGTCACCTTTGAATTTCACTGATTAATTTTCCAGGAGGATAACAAAAATTATGGTAAAACTTTAAAAAGTGCTGGTAAATTTTTGAGCTCTTGACTGTACACGATTTTGAATGAAAGATACGGAGTGTATAATTGCAAGAAAAAGACTTTGTTGATTTGAGGATAACTTGGTATTTTAATAATGGTTGCAATGATATGTTGTGATTTATGAGGTTTTATTTTCATTTGTGATCAATGAAACTTATTTTCCTTTGGGAATACTTTCGTTATGTTTTTAGTTTGGAACTCATAAAAAATAGTGCACATAATTTGTGGGAGATTTTGTGCAACCAAAATTTGCAAATCATTTGAGAGTTAGAAGTGACTAAAATTTGCAATCTACATCAGGGGCTTAATGTATTGAACATTGACATGAACAGTGTTAGAAATAAAGAGAGCAATTATATATTGTATTGATGTATGAAATATCTTAAATGTCTTATATATAGAAAAAATGCTTTGGGGTAGGTGAGCGATGAATAAGTAACTTATATATACCATTATAGTAGTTGTACTCATATATGATAATTTGTAATATGTAAGAAACTTACATGGTAGATAAAAGGGTAAACTTCTAATCTAATAGTCCCCCTCAAACTCAAGGTGAGTATGAACTCAATTTAAGATTGAATGCAATATATGATGATGGAGGCACGATTAACAGGTGATCGACGTGGCACTACTACTGGTACCGCGGCTAACTGTGTTTGGCATGGCAACTGATGTGGAAGGTGACATGGCACTACTGTTGGCTGTGTCTGACAAGGTAACTGTTGTGGCAGGTGACGCACTACTGCTGGCACCGCTGTTAATGTGTCTTGGAGGTTGATTGGGCGGCCAAATAAGGATTTTGTTGATTATAGAGGACTTGAGACTGAAAGTTGGGATGCAGAAGTATAAGTTTGAAGGTTGATCGCTGCCGCCGAGGATGGGACTAATGGCGCCATCCCCAGCAGTGACTATGATAAACTGGTAGATTATTTACCAGAGATCAAAAGGCTTTGATACCATTTTAGATATAAGAGAGAGTATAGAACTCTGTATTGTATTGATGTAAGAGATGTGTAATACAAGATTACATGTGAGTTTATGTAGGTAACGAGATATGTGGAGAGTAAGAAACCTAAACCCTATATGGTAAACCTATACATGTTTAGAATATATTCTATATATTCTAAAATATAGTAATAATATATTCTACAATATATTCTAACAGCCCCCTTAAAATCAAGGTGGATTGAATGAAATCATCTTGAGTTTGAAAATGAGATCTTGAAAGCGGTATGGCGAAAGCGATTTGGTGAAGATGGGTTTTCACCCATGATGAAGATAAAGACACAATTAACAGCTGAAATGGCACTACTGCTGGCACCGCTGCTGGCTGTGTCTGACATAGCGCTACTTCTGGCACCGCTGCTGAAGATGGATTTGGTGAAGATATGTTTTATTACTATATTGTAGAATATATTCTAACTATGTATAGGTTTATCATATAAAGTTTAGGTTTCTTACTCTCCACACATCTCATCACCTATATAAACTCATATGTACTCTTATATTACACATCTCTTAAATCAAGACAATACAAAGTTCTATGCTCTCTCTTATATCTAACAAATAGGATTGCCCAAGACCCAACATAAGCTTGCTTAATGTATTATGCTTTTTAGCCAGTACCGGGAGAGAGAATTATATTAGTAGTAGTTCATAGTTCATATCATTATTGGGTCAGTAGGTTTAAGAAAAAATAAATTATGGCATTGTGGTTAATTATATGCATTTCAGATTACTATGGAAATGAGAACTTGAAATTTTCTTAGCAATCAGGGACGGACCCAGCATGGGGGGGGGGGGGGGGGGGGGGGGGGGGGGGGGCGGATGCCCCCTCTGAATTTTTAATATTTTCATTTTATATCCTAATTTTTTTGAAATTTATGAAAATGCCCCTCCTAAAATTACAATTCGCCCCCATTGAATTCTTTTTTTTTAGCATTTTATACTTCAAATTTTGATAATTTATGAAGATGCCCCCACTATAATTATAATTTGCCCCACTGATTTTTTTTTTTTTTCATTTTATACTTAAATTTTTTTAAAATTTATGAAAAAAACCCCATTAAAATTACAAAAATGAACCCATCATATAATCTTGTACCCACAAATTAAAAATTCACCCCCCCCCCCCAAATTTTTTGGGTCCGTCACTGTCAGCAATATAATTGAGTTTCTAAGGTCATATAATTTGAATTATTCCACTTTGAATGCTAATTCGGACCTGGCAAATTACATGCAACATAGTGACACCATTGTCTACCCTCACTTGACCATGCGACCACAACTTATTGACGTGTTTGTTCATGTCCTCAATCATTTGTGGCCCTAATTGTAAAGCAACAAATGTTAAATTTATTATTATAATTTTTTTTAGTTGCTACTCACGCATATACTTTCATTAAGATTTAAACTCTTGACCTCCCTTTAGAAAGTAATAACCTAATATCGCAACTCATTGGTTAAATTTAGCTATGAAAGTATTAAAAAAAATATTTGAAGGTTGCATTTGGATTGGTATTGTATACAGGAGAATCACTGAAAATGGATTACAAGAAATAAAAATTGATTTCTACTTCTGTCAACAAACTAAACAGTATATGCGTGAAAACTTCTACCATAGACGCGAGTCTATTTACAAGAAACCAAACATCTAGTAAACTTCTGGTGCACTGTGTGTTCTCTAGATGTTTGGTTTCTTTGGGTTGGGCTTCATTTTCATACCAGCAAAGGCCCAAAGGCCAAAATCTAGCTTTGTCTCCAAGGCTTGTCAGGTGGGCTAGTATGCTTCCAAGACAAGGTAACGATCCAAATAATCTGCACGGCCCATGAAATCCAATTCCCAACTATTCTACTCTTTAGCTGGTATTGAGAAGTGAGAAATACGATAATTGCTTCATAGTTTGTATCATTATTGTGTCTGTAATTTTGAAAAAAGTTGAATTATGGTAATTGTGGGTAGTTATATGCATTTCAAATTATTGGGGAAATGGGTACTTTGAAATTTTCTCACGTTGTAATCGAGTTTGTAAATAGTGAAGCTAGAGCATATACATGATTTGACATAAAATTAGCCGATATTAATCAAAATAGCGAGCATTAAGCCGATTATAAAAAATACATAAATTAACATGGTAAAAATATTTCAATTCATAAAATCCATCATTATTCTACTTAATAAGATTCATTGGCGTTCGAAGGGCTCCACCCCCTCAATTCAAAGTATTTTTTTCTTTTTCAGTTGCATTGGGTATAACATCCGTAGTGATTATAAATAGACTCGCGTCTATGGTGGTGCACTTTCTAGTTTAGTAACCCACACTCTATTCAAAACAATATTAAAGGATTCTACTTAGATTCAAAGTGTGATTAGAATTGTAACTAATAGTGTACAATTTCACATCGCAAATCGGTTTTCAAATGATTTAAGAGAATGCCTAAAAATTTTAAGTGAAAATCATACTCACACAGTTATTTTATTATAATTAGATAACACGGTGACACCTTGTCTACTCTCAATTGACCATGTGACCACAACCTACATGCACAATGCTACCATTTGACTTGGTTGTTCACGTCCGAGCATCGGTGGCCGTAGTTGTAAAGCAGCAAGTGCTAATTTTAGCTATGAGAATATTTTGAAAAAAAACAAAAAAATTTGAAGGTAGCAGCATTTGGATTGGTATATTTTATATATTCAAGAGAATCTGTTGTAAAATGGACTATAAGAAATACAAATTGATTTACCGCTTTCAACAAACAAAACAGCCCATTCAGCTAACTCAAGTGGTCTGTGTTTTCTTGTGTTTGGCTTCTTTGGGTTGGGCTTAATTTTCATAGCAGTGAAGGCCAAAATACCAAAATCTAGGTTTGGCTTTTGGGTGGGCTAAATATGCTTCCAGGACAAGATAATGGTCCATATAATCTCCACGGCCCAGTACTTTAACATTTTCTCACATTGTAAATGAGTTTCTAAGGTCATATAATTTGAAGTATTGCATTCTTTGTGCTAATTCGTATTTCGTACCCGCGAGTCACTCTTATTTGACAGTGCACCAGAAGTTTTTAAATGGTGAAGATGAGTTTTGGATGATTCAATTAGCTCATCGTTTGACACTAAATTAGCCTATATTATAATATATATATATATGTAAAATATGTTCTCATGTTGAAAAATACATATTAATTTAATTACCGCTTCTAACAAATTGAACAGTCCCGTTCAATTGACAAGGTTTTTGTTTCGAGAGATACTACACCTTGGTAATTTAGGGGTGTAGCTGAAATTCTAAACTCATGACAATAGTTGTCCATAAAAATCCATATATATATATATATATATATATAATGCATATATAAAGTTATGGATGGGTGATTGTGGTAATCACTAGACAATTTCATTTCCTAATTTAACTCATTTTCCTAGTTCAATTGATTATCACTAAAATTCATGTGAAAATCTAACGCACTTAATGGACTTGACCATGTTATCGCAACCTCCAAATGACGAATACTTTAATCTGACGTTGTTGTTCACATTCGAAATTGTCATAGTTGCAAAATCACAACCGCTAATTTTAATTAATTGATTTATTCATTCAGACTACTTAATTAAATGATTATTACGGAGTACGTTTTATTACAAAAGGTATATAGTTTTTTAAAAAAATAAAAATAATAAATTACCCTCTTCATTTTAGCACAATATTTAAAATAAGAGGCTAAAGAAATTATGATAATTAAATAATAATAAAAAAAACTCGGATAAACATAGATTTTATAAAAATAAAAAATAAAAAAAAATTCTGATAATTGAGTAATTCTGGGTTGGAAATGGTGTTCAAACTTCTCTCTCCCCACAAATTAGATAATTATGAAGCAAGGGATATGCTAATTTTGGGCAATTGGCATATACCAATCCTGGTGGATACCCACTAATTTGCACATATACCACATGTTTATACTAATTAATTAACAAAAAGTTAAAGTTCTGAAGCATGAGAATAAATAAAGTGGTCACTTATTGAGTGGAAGAATGTATGTATATCTAAGCCTTCAATTAAAGACTGTCATTATACTATATACATATATATATATATATATATACGCAATATGATATTACTATATTATATGTATATGCTATATAAAGTGGCTGAGCAAGGTGGATGCTTGGTGGTGAGGGACCGATGGTGGCTATTACAGTGTGCATAGGGACAATGGATGGGGTAAAGCGGCGTCTCGGACAACGTTTCGAGCGGCGCCAACGTGAACCTGTCGGTAATTATTGAGACGAGACCAAAATGTGTTGCTAAGCATGGATGTTGTTTCTTACGGGGTCACGTGCAGGTTGGGTGATAGATCACGTGCCACAATAATCAAAAGTTTAGGCCTTATAAAAAGTTGAGATTAGACAAGAAAGGGTCTTTAACCTAAACAACCTCTGTTCAGATAGAGTTTTGTTAGGATCACAAGTGGGTTTGTCACATATATCACAGCCCATTTCATTATCGTTCGTTTTGAATAAAAAGATATGTGTCATGTTTCTAGATTATATGGGTGAGGAACGTGGAAGATGGTCACATGACCACCATACTAACCCAATAGGTGAGATTAGTTTTTTTTTTATCTCTCACCCTTTTTCTTTTCACGGAAAACTCCACTGTCATTTTCTATATCTTTTTCTTGTGTGAAATTCCATCTCTTCCCAAAGCTAAACATATCCTACGCGCGTGGGAATAAAATAGAAAGTTAAAAGAAAAAAAGAAAAAAAATTAAATTAAAGATTGGTAGCGCTTAAATTTAGAAGGAAAAAATAAAAAATAAAAATTAATAAGGTAAAAATATTTCAATTTATAATATCTATTATTATTCTACTTTGTAAGATTGATTGATATATATTTTTTTTTTTACTGACAAACAAGCAAACACTATATAGAAACACAATACAAATCAACCCTAGCCAACTCAATTACAAAAGAAGGCACATGCTCTAACACCATGTCAGATTGACTAAGATTCCTTGAATTATTTGCAACCTCATGAGTAACAGGATAACCTTCCCGACTAATATGCGAGATGCTCACCTCCTTAAACTAACTCAGTGCTTCTTCAATATCAAAAATCAAAACTATGATGATGTTTAATAACTCAATTCAACACTTAATAACTCAATTCAATCCTTCGACTAATTCATTTTTTCACAATATGATGATGTTTAATAACTCAATTCAACACTTAATTCTGAATAGATACAGAATTAAGACCTTGTCCGAACATCCATAATTGCTGTCATCAAGTCTCAGGGTGTCCATTCAGGGATGGATGGGAGTTTTCACTTTCTTTTTTAAGCTCAAATAATGATGCTCTTATTTACTGATTGGCTATTCTAGTTCTTCGTTCACCTTCTTGTCACAACTTCCAGCACTTGGTAGATTGGTCAAATGCTCCGTCCGACGTGGACACAAAACAAAGAATTTCAAACTATTAAACAAAGATCCGAAATAGCCAAAGAGCATCCTTACTTTAGCTTAAATAAGAAAGTGCGTTTGATAATGTAATTGAAATAGCACTTAAAACGAGATAAAAATTTAATTGATAGAGATATTAATTATCATTGAAGGTTGAACATTGAAAATGAAAAAAGAAAATGTTTATTTTTAATTACTACTTAAAAAATTTTGACTTAAATTTCAGTTCTTAAAATTTTTCGTATGTAATTATCAATTTTATGAAAATGTACCTAAATAAATTTTATAAATAGAAATTATATTCTTTATATTGAACGAAAGATTGAGAATGCTTTTTTTTTTTTTTTTTTTTTCACAAAATAAATTATGAGTTCATCAACATACTTACATACTCTTATAATCATTTTAATATTGTCATTAAAATTAAAACGTATAACTTTTATAATTTTTATTTTTAATAACTTATTTTAATTTGTTATTGTCACCAATCACTCATGTAATCTAAACTAGAAAACTCATTAGTACCTTTAGCAGATATCTGCATGACTACACATAACATATAGATTGATTTTCATGATTTTTAATATTTAATAATGAGTATTAATTTGTTTTTACCATGTCACTTAAGTAATCTAAATTAGAAATTGCTTTGGCAGATACTTTAGCCCCTCCTTGGCATGATTTAACCCACCCGAGTTTTGCACGCATGATTCCACATACCACAATTACTTTAGGAGACATTAAGTATTCCAGTGTAACTATTGCATATAAGAGATATATTGCAGAGTAAATATTGCAACGTAAGTATTGCAATGATGTTATATAGCTCTACTATTTACATATGAAGTAGTTTGTATTTATGTTGAGGCGATGATGAAAACTGTATTATAGAATGATTCCCCACACCCGAGTTTTGCACACATGATTCCACATACCACATGAGACATGTTGTAGAGTAAGTATTGCAATGTAAGTATTGCAGTGATGTTATACTGCTCTGCTATTTACATGAGAAGTAGTTTGTATTTTTGTTGAGGCTTTACATGTGAAGCAGTTTGTATTTTTTTTAAGGCGGTGATGAAAAAATTATATTATAGAATGATTTCACACCCGCGGTGATGAAAACTATATTATAGAATGATTCCACACACTCGTGTTTCGCACGCATGATTTCACAAACCACAATTATTTCAGGAGACAAGTTAAGTATTGCAACGTAAGTATTGCAGTGATGTTATATATATAGCTCTACTATTTACATGTAGCAGTTTGTATTTTTGTTGAGGTGATAATGAAAATTATATTATAATTAATTTGGTTGCATATTGCAATAGATAGAAAAAGCTTTTCCCACTACTCAGGTTACAAATACTGCTTAATCTAGATATTCTACATCACTCTATTAACAAAGGTCCCATCTAGTTTGTTATTATAAATAAAGAAAATAATCATTTTTACTTAGCTTCTCGAACTCTCTGCATATTTAATATTTTTTAAAAACTCACTAATTTTTTCAAATATTCTATTTCTTATAATAATGTATTATCCCTCTAATGTCCTAAAACCTTCAATTCTTTACAATACTCCATATTTCTCTACACAATTTTAAAAGGCACTGAATCTCCACTATACTATACTCTTCTCATATCATGCAGACGCAGCCCATATGTTTCGCTTGCATGGCATAAGCTCTTTGTACAATTAGGCAGAGCTTGACAAAAGGATAAGAATAGACTCTCTCTTCTTTAATTGTTTCACTCTCAATCGGAACAAAAATTCGATATCATTTTTCATTTAATAAAGGGATGTAGAAGGAGTTACGAGGCAAGAGTAATAATCTTTTACCATATACAATAGTATACTGAATCGCTGCAATGGATAATTGTTATCATTTACCAATATAATGGTTTTGGAGCTATCATAGTTGCTGCTATGATAAAAAATCTTTTATTGTTCACGATGTTGTGTTGTTTTAATGGATAATTGTAATTATTTAGATATTAATCCTTCTGTCCCATTTTAGTAATCAAAATTTTTAAGAGATCGTCTTTTACTACATTATAATAAATGAAAATTTAAATTTACCCTTTGTTTATAATTGGCGGGTTCATAATAATGTTTATTCTTTAAAAGATAACGAGGGTAAATTTTTTTTTTTTTTAAATTTACCCTTTGTTTTTATTGGTGGGGTCCATAATAATGTTTATTCTTTCAAAGATAATGAGGGTATTTTTATTTTTACTTTTTTTTTTATTTTTTTTATTTTGTGAACCATCACTATTCACTTTGAGAGAGATAGAGGAAATAATAAAATATGAAACATTGGATTTTAAAATGAAATAACTACTCCGTATTATGGAACAAATAAAATTAGAAAGATGGGCGAAGAATAAATATGTCAGTTTTTATGTAAAGGAGAATGAATCTAGTTAAACCTATCTCTACCTCATGCACTGTGGAGTCATCTCAAGAACTTTTAAAGTAGAGAGAGGGAGGGAGAATCCTTGGTGGGACTAATTAATGACTTTTAACAGTTTGCTTGTTTTGCTTATGTCTTTTGTACCCCATTTTAAGTCGGTTATTTTGTTCTTAAAAAGAGCCCAAAATTATACAAACAGTAGTGTCAGTTTTGAGTATTATGTCATCCTCTTTTGGCTCTTAATTTATCCCAACACAACCTTTCCTCTGACTTCTCTGACATCACACCACTGTCCCCCCCACTCCTACTCTTACCTTTGCTTTCCCATAATTAAACATCAATACCCCTCTCTCTCTCTCTCTCTCTCTCTCTCTACTTTTTCTCTTCTCTCATCTCAACCTTTTATGTGTTCAAGTACACAACCTTTGGTTTTTTCTCTCATGATCATCCATATACTGAAATCAAAGTGCACCACTGAAACAGATTTCTGAAATTTGAAAGAGGTACATATGAGAATATCAATTCACTGGTTCTTCAGTGCTTGCTTGTGCTTATGACATGATATATCTAACTATATATATATATATATATATATATAGATATATATGTATACACCCTGTACCATTCTTGTTTCATTTTGCTTCCTTAATTTGTCTCTGGTTAATTAGTTTTCTTCATGATTCTTGTCCTTGGCTTGAAGTTTTGGTCTTAATTTCATTTATTCTAGTGGCTATTATGATCTGCTTTGCTCTTCCTTTGGAATTGATTTTTCTGATTTTTTTGTTTTCTTTCGATAGTTTGGATATGTAGTGTTAACATTGGTTAATCAATCACGAAGTTGTGGTAGCTTTATTGTGTTAGGAATAATGGTGAATGAACTCCTGGGAAAAAAAATTGCAGGATGGAAGTGAAATGTTTTCACATGCAATTCTGTTATGTTGAGTTCTTGATCTCTCTGATGAGATTTCAGCTTTATAAACCTCTCATACCTGGCTTTTCACCTAGGTTTCCTATTGAATTTTATGATACATATAAAAGTAGTATAATTTTGGGTTGGGGTTTTTTTTTCGGTTTGCCACAGTTTAATATAAGCTAAAGATAAAATCATAACAGCAAGGGAAAGAAACCTGAACTAATCAATGCACAACATATTAGCAAATTAGACCTAAACTCTTGAAGCCAAAGATGACTGGATCAAGAAGCTTTGTCCCTGTTAAAAGTGTCACCCAACTCAAAGCCTACCTTGTCTGCCACCATAAAAACCACTCTTGATAGTCAGGACTATGAACTATGAACACAAAAAAGGAAAGCCAACTGTTTAGCTTCCGGTAGAGGATCCCTTGGAAAGCAGAACTATGTTAAAGTAGTGCTCGTTGAGGCTTATATAAACGGAGGACAAAAGGATTAGAGGTACTTGATAGTTGATAGTGAATAAAGAACTTACCTGTTTGAAGTCGGAATTGCTATTACTCGTTGGTCAGCCATATGACAGTGAATTCGTTCCTGAGCCTAGCTTGTACACACTGCCCCATCACACTATGGGTGCTGGCCATGCCCTAGAGTTATGAATCAAATTCATATGATAAACCTCATGATGCAAGGTCCACCCAATAGCATGAAAAGCTATGAAGGACGAGCAAAAGAGAATCTGCTTGTTAAGAGGTTGTATTAACATTCCCAAAAAGAAGAGCTTTAGGTGAATGATGTTATAACAAGACATGCAATTGCGTGGCGATGTGGATAGTGAGAAAATACTAACTGGCACTTTTTTGGAATCAAAATCATCCCAAAAAGGAGATGATATCTGGTGATAGGATCTAGTCATGAAAATGGTAGAAACGATGGAATGAATCAAGTTAAAATTGCAAAAGCCTTAGGAGATTCTTGTCGGAAAAGTAACACTAATTCTGCACAACCATAAACTTATCCTGACAGTACTTTTGATTGCCGGAATTTTCGCAAGCAGATGTCTGCCGCTAAAGACTATGGTAGCAGTTTTGATCACTTTTAGCAGCGGATGTCTGCTGCTATATCCTGTATTTTTTGTAGAATTAGTTATGCTAGCCAGGCCATGAACCATACAGACAGAATGAATATAGTTATTATGTTCATCCCCTTCTCGCCAATGGAGCCTTGGATTAGGATTTCACTGCCCAACAAGATGCTTCTCCAACACCAAGAGAATTCACCAGCTGGTGCCGAAGAACCAAGTAAACCCCTAGATTGTCAAAACCCTCATAATTGAAGAGGAAGATATACTGGCTGCATAAGAATCTGCCAGCTCTTCTTCGTCAAAAGAGCCTGTTTAAACAACTTGTATCTTTAGTTTAGATACTATCTCCCAATTTTTCGTCGGTTACAAAGAATTGGGCTCCAATTTCTGTCACCTGACCACTAAAAACAGGCAAAATTACACACTCATCTTTTTGCACACGAAGACCAGCAGTCGGTAGATAGACATAGAAAACCAGCAAGTAGGAAAGGACAAACTTAAGGAGCATTGCCTGCCCTGCTTTTTCCTTTTCCCTCCCCCCTTGAGAAAGAGAAAGAAGAGAAGAAAGGATTTCTTTTATTTTTCATGTGAACAGCCTCCAGGAGAGAATTCAAATTTTATCTTTTGGAAAAAACTGTCTTATTGTCTTGAACAATATCAAAATAAATATCCAGATAGACTAATACCAAGCGAACCTATCATGCAACGTAATCTGAAACACCTGATGAGCATAAGTATGGTGTACCGTGTTCCTCAAGAGTGTTGGAACTCGCTACTGTGATTTTTGGAGATTGAAAACAGTATCAATCCAAGGCCAAACATAGCATTTACATGATACAAAATGAAGCTGAAAGAAATGGGACTATCATTTGCAAAGAATGTATGTGAGGTAGGAGGGCTGTGTGGGCTTTTAAACCTTACTTTACAATGAATTTGGGTGTCATTTATGGTGACTGAAGAACATCCTTGATAATGCTCATTATATTGCTAATGTCTTTCTTGGAGTGAATTTTTGCATCTCCTATTTTTTTTATGTATGATCTGTCCTTACATAATAGTGCCCGATTTGGTCCAGAGGTTTATCCTTAAAATTCTTTAAGCACTTACTATAATGCTCATTGTACTGCTCATTTTCTCCTCAGAATTATTTTTTGCATGTCCTGACTTTGTTATGCACGATCTGTTCTTACTTAACTTGACCTGATTTGTTCTGAGGTTTCCGAGGTTTATATCTATAAATTTATAAATGGGGATAATAATCTTAGCATGATTGATTCAGTATATATGCTTATGTTTTCAAGCCACTCCTCAACTTGATTTGTAAGTTGTGTTTATTGCTACCTCTTTTGTGGTTATTTATCTTCAGTCCGTCCCCAACTGGTCTATGTTTTTTTTCTTCCCCTCTGGGCTATCCTTTCCTTCCTCTGTGTTTCTTTGTATTTGTAGTATTTTGCCTGTCAGACCTCCATGTAATAATTTGATTTGGAAAATTATTTCCACACCGACGTCGGGTGGGCTCCACACACCCGTGTGTGTCGGCTAGGGTCGACGTCAGCCCTAATAGCACAGCTCATTTGATTTATACCACTTTTTGTTTGTATTTATGCTGCAATTACTTCTCTCACTTAACTCTTTCCTGTTTTAATTCCCTGTAATGCTTGTCTTGTGCATTCTTGAAATGCTCAGATTTTGGCCCATAGCTGCATTCATTAACAGAAAATGTTAGTGGCTTTATCCTTTGAAATTGCATATCTGGCAATGTCTGCATTTATGTTGCGATTGGGAGCACAAAATTGGCATCTTGAAATTGGAATTGGAGAAAAATTAATTCCAATCCAAGGCGCCGATTTGGTACCTCCCAAACATAGCAAAGTGTATTTACTTATTTTCTTCGATTTATGCGTGCAATATTCTGTTATTATATGACTTATTTCAAGATCCCCTATAAAGGATATTTAAGATATTTTAGTTTGATTATTCATAATCATATAATTTGACTAGGTTTTAGCTGTTTTAAGCTTTTCCAATATTTTGTGAATTTTTGAGGATTTTCTTTTTTCTTTTTCATACTTAAAGGAAGCATTTGATCCTGGCTCAGAGTGAGGTGACCAGATTAACCCGAGTATTGTGATTATTACATAATACATACTGATGCACTTCGAACCATGTTAGACGGTTAGGGAGATGTAAATGGATATATTGATTTGATCAATTACAAATACGATGGACTTGAGTAACATTATGGGAGAAATAATCGAGTTTCTAGTCCGAGTTTGCTTACACCACCAATCAGAACCAAACCTGCATTTTCAAGTGTTGTTAGGGTCACTAAGAAGAGATCCAAGGTAATTGGTGCTTGCTAGCAATTAGCTTTGTTTAAGAAGACAATAAAGGAATGTTGTTGCGAAAACTGTGGAGAGATACTAGAGAATAAAAGGAACATAAGTTGGATAAAGCAAATCTAATGTCTACTACTTTCCTGCCTAACAGAAAAATTCTTACAAACCCCTAATGGAGCATGCAGCTTTACTTCATTGGATTATTAGAATAAAGATTCTACTTACGGAAAGCTGTCTTACATTAGAATGTGATTAAACGCTTGAAATGATGAACTTTCACATTTCTTTTCTAAATAACTCAACTACTTTATTTAGATAAATTGTCTCATTTTGAAACCAATTTTCTTAAAACTACACGTACAATATGCAGCAGTGACGTCTGCATTATGCTAAACCAGGTATTATTGCCTGTCCAAATTTCTCAGAAAAACCTTTGGAAGATTATGGCTTTGATATTTCCTTAATATTGCATTATATGATATTTATTTTTTGCTATCCCAAGTCTTCTATTCTTTTTGTGGTTCGTGATTGCTATAGCAGGGCAATACCCCCGTAGTATAGAAAAAAAAGATCAAGGCAAATTGTAGCAAACAGAGTAATTAATAACACAAATATGTAGTCCCTGACAACTTCTTACAACATGCTTCCGGTGAACGTTGTGAAAATTAACTTTCCATTTTAACAACAAAATTAAATGCATGAAAAGTGACATTTAACAACATTCAAATTTGCATGTTGTAAATATAATGTTGTAAATAGTCACTTTTCTTGCAGTGTTTCATTTGTGATCAATGAGCTACTTATAAGTAGTTTTCCAAAATTCTTTCACCTCCAGTCCTTTATTCATTTTATAAGCTATTGCCATCACATTTTTTGTTTCAACTGTCCAAATGAATGTAATAGAATATCTGGTCCCGTCATCCAATGGAGCCGTCAGTGGAATGAACTCCCTGGATGGGGTTTGGATCAGTAGTTCAATTGTCGTACCTTTTCTTCTGCTTAATGACTTAGTATTTTTTGTTTTCTCACTTTTGTGAGTCATTGAGCTCACATTTTCTTTGTTGGCTTTACATTTTTTAAATAGTCTGAGGTGAGGCCTATGCAATTTGTAGATTTTCCCTCCAAGGAACTGCCTTGAAGAAGTTTAACATGAAGCACAAGTTGAATACATTTTGTTGCCTCATACATTAACCACGCACATGACATATTACTTCTCCTTTTCTAAATTAGTCTTTTCTTAAATATAGTTCATCATGAATGAAAAGGTTGGTCCTTGCACCAGTGATAGATTTCTCATCTCAAAGCCACAAAAATATCTTAGGCTTTAAACTCACCACGAAAGAGGAGCAAAAGTTTCTTCTCCATGTTATGTACTTTTAAACCGTATTCACAATCAAGTCTGTTATTGTCGCGTGACAATTCTCTTCTCAGTTGCACTAAAATAGTCATTTTTTTTTTTTCTCACAGATGCAGCACAAGAGATCTAAACTTCAGGAACGGTCGGCTGGACTTGGCTCAATTTGGTTGTTGCTCGGATAGATTGAAAACCTTCTCTTCATATCACTGCTCAACTCAATCATGAAATCACCATACATTGACCTTGAAGTGGAGGCCGCCTCAGAAAATGATTCTGATATCAGTAGCCAGGTTGCTTCCAACATATCCATCCAGCAAACCTTCCGAGGTCCCTTTATAGACGGCCTCATTGACTCTCCCCGACTCACAAATCCTGTGGGGACTCGATCAATTTCCGAACCAGTTTCTCTCGACTTAACTCTCAGCTTCAACACTAGTAACAGTGAGTCAGTGGGAAGGGACTCTGTAGGACTTCAAATATCGAGCACAAGCGAGAGTAGCAATGAACCTGCATCCGGAACTACAGCAGCAACCATTCCGCGAGTTTTTTCTTGCAATTACTGCAGGCGAAAATTCTTCAGCTCACAGGCTCTTGGTGGCCACCAGAATGCACACAAGAGAGAGAGAACACTGGCAAAGAGGGCTATGCGAATGGATTATTTCTCCGAGAGGTATGCTTGCCTGGCATCTCTCCCTCTGCATGGACCTTCATTCAATTCCATTGGAATCAAAGCACACTCTTCAGCGCACCACGGCTTTGTGCCACCAGTGAGGCCGCTTGAAACCAGAGGCAGCCCAAGATTCGAACACGGGCATATTGGTCCGCCAATATTCGTGGAGGACGATGAGGCAGAGTTGTCATGGCCTGGTAGTTTCCATCAATTCTCTCAAGTAGGCCATGCTCATCCGAGTTTCGTACTTCCCGGAAGTTCAAATATGAATTTCTTAGAGCTGCCTTCCTCAGTGAACATAGACGAACCTATGCCGGATCTCACACTGAGACTCTGAGAATTTTGATTGCTCATAAATGGCTTCATCATTCTGCTAGTTACTCTCTGTAATTATACCTTAGTTCTTTGTTTTTTCAATCTATGTTTTGGTGTTCTACTCAAATTTTATGCTTTCTTCTACTTGTAAGATCTTCATAAGGTTTTGGTATGCAGTGCTGCTCAGTTTTTTGTGCATAGTTCTTCATTTTCTTTCCTTACTTAGCAATTAGCACTATGAAAATGGCAGTTGTTTACTTCTGAAAATTTAAGGCCAAGCATTGTGTGTTGAATGGGACTGTAATGAGGCATATCTTGGTGGATCTCAACATTTCATCAGAAAAACACACACACACACACACACACACGGCAGCAGTTGATTTAAATGCCTGGACCTGGCTAGCATAAAATTATTGATATTTGTGGCACTGTATTGAACACTAAGTGAACAGCCTGTTTTGCTATTTCAACTACTCAGAATTAAGGTTAACCCCACCATATTTATTTATAGAGCTTGCACTACGGAAGAGTAAATACAACCTGCCTCATTCAGGTTTCATAGGTACTCATAGTCCGTATACCCAAATTCAAACAACAAATTGTCCACCGCCCAAAAATAAAATAAAATAAAATATTGTAAATGGTCACGTATTAATTGAGTGGCGGCCCACATGCCACAACGACGAGGTTACATGTGGCAAGTGATTAGACTCATCTTGCTAAATGATTCTCCATAAATTATTACAATCTCGTGATCATTGATCCAAACCCATCATTATTTGATATCTCAATAAAAAGCTGAATAAAGCTCACTGACATATTTAGTTATGTGTCAAATGGAGATTGGTGTAGACCAATGGTCTTGGGATGTAATAACTTCTCTATGATCCTCGCCTCATTATATTTTTATTCAGACATTTTTCGTTCTTTTCATCTATTATTTGTTAAATTATATTCAGATTATCAATGGACTTTAATTTAGATGGTATGATCTCTTCTCTCTTTTGAGTGTTTGTGCCCTATATGTCGTATGTTTGCTTCAACTTTCGGGAAGAAAAAAAAAAAAAACCCTTATATTCACATTGTCTTTAAAAAAAGAATAATAATTTAATAATCAAATTCGATAGTCATCGAATTCAATTTATGTGATTGTGGTAGTGGCCCCCACTATATGATGTCATTATGACATCATGTGATGGGACCGATCACTCCTCTCACCTAATTTAATTTGATAACCGTCAAATTCGTTCTCAAAATTACTATTCTTAAAGAAATCAGATATAATTGTAAATATAGATGAATTATTAAGAAGTCTTATATGATTGACAACTGCCTCTATATATATATATATATATATATATATATATATATACAAAATAAAAAAAAAAGTATATATATATACAAAATAAAAAAAAAAAAGTTAATTTTGGATCATTTTTATGTTATGATATTACAAGAATCATGGTTGTGGAGACTCTGCTTTACCAAATAACAAGAATAAATCAATTTGCAGCAAATTTGACTAGAACAAGGGATATGGTCTAGCATGTGTATTTGAAGTGGTCCTGTCCACAACTTTTTTTTAGTTGGATTTGTGGAATCTAAGTTATGTTTGAAAGATATATAATTCAATTTTCAAAGTGGGTTTTTTTTTTTCAATTTTTTATATTCATCATAGTACTTGATTAAAAACTCAGTGGTTGATGTGTTTTTGGGATAAGTGTTGGAAGAAATCTAAGAGAAGACAACTTGGTAGAAATTAAAACCAGTGGATCTGCTGTCCAAACCATGCTCACATAATGGGATACTCACAGTCACAGATCAACCATTAGCTTCTTCTTTCATGACCAATATTAACAATAATTTAACAAACTTTGCAAAGACAATATCTAGCAGTTTTAGTGGACATTTGCCCAACATTTTGAGTCTGACCATGATGCCTATTATTTAATTATTTTCCATTATAGAACACACACAAAAAAAAAGACATTTTTTTTTTTTTTTTTCATAATTGTAACCATTTTACATTTATGATGAAAGAGCCTAGAAATGTGTTACATAAAATATGAGAGAGACATTTACTTGTACCATTTTTTTTTTTAAAGATGATTTTAATATATCAATGATACTAATTACATGTATCACCAATTAATTAAATGTTGATAGGTAGTAATAAAATTTACTAAAATAAATGCATTTTTATTTAATACATTTCTGATCAAGCATTATCCACTTAACACACACACACACACACACATATTTGGGTAAATAAAATTGAATTAAGAAGGAAAAACTTTAGAGCATCTTCAACCGTTGTGTATGTATGTATGTATATATATATATATATATATATATATATATTTTGTATAAATTGATTTCTTATAATAGATTTACACAAAAAAATTAGATTATTTATTTTTAGCTCCAGCGATTGTTTTATACCTTTTGTGTAAAAATATATCCCCTAATAACAATTAACTAATATCATGCCTGGACTCTACATAACTTTTACAAACCTACTTAATATAGGGTTGATTGATTAATGGAATGAGAAAGAGGGAGAAGAAAGGAAATATGTTGATGTGACTGTGTAAAAAAGTTATGTAAAATACATAATAATTTTACACATTAATAATTTTGGAGTGTATCTTAACAGTCTACTAAAATTAAAAGAAAAAAAATTTACACGTCATACGTGACTTTAACAGATTGCTAGAGATTTTTCTTAGACTCTGCAATGCTTAGTCTGTCAACTTGAAGGTCAAAAACTTAATTCTTTTTTATATGAGGGATCAGAAAAATATAATCCAAAGAGAAATAATATATAATCTACATAAATAGAATATTTTACATATCTAAATAGACTAAACTTGCACATCCATGGAGGCATGGACAAAGAAAACATAATCATTTAAAGTCCACCATTAGAGCACCTCATAATTGATGGGTCGGTACTGATGCACTAAAGGAGTTTATTCTAATAAGTCGACTAAAATTCCTTTGGAATTCAGGTCCCTTTTTTTTTTAATAGAAATACAACTATTTGCTTAAATTTTGTTATATTAATATAAAAGATTATATATATATATATATATATATATATATATATATATATATATATATGCACACACATATAAGAGTGTTCTTATTGTGAACTCAGGTTGCTATCTTACCCAAAAACCTTAACTATTAAGTGGGTCACAATGTTCTCGTTGCGGGTCGAGCTATCCTGTGTATTGGGTTGACAACCCATACGCCCTCGGAACCAGATACTAGACGTGACATCAGATCAATAATTCACTCTGACTTTTATACCAACGGTAGAAGGAGAGTGATTCGTAATCCAATCCAAAAACTTAAGTTATTAGATGGGATTAATACCCGATCCATATATACTTGATCAGTAATCATTCTTCCATCTATTTCCGATATAGGATAAATTCTCCATTGTTACAGCCATCTCACAATGGTCATAGTTTTTCAATTAGTGAAACAAAATTTAAACTAATATGATATCATTTCTTAATAATTCCAAACATAAATAAATGAATAATGGGACAGCCGATAGGGACTCTTTCATGGATGATTAATACAATTTTGACGACGACCCCCCGAGACATAAAAAATATGTTTTCGTTGGGCTGTCAACTTGGACTATAATTTCCTTAGGCTGCCGGCAATTTAAACTAAACAATAAGAATAATAGAATCTTCTAGTCATAACATAATTCTTATTTATTATTGTATAAATATGATGCAATAAATTATATACAATATTGGCGAATTCGAATGTTGTCTATTAGTAGAATTGACTCTACATAATGAATTGGTATATACTGATGATTTAATAAGCATATTACATAATATATATAAATCTGTTCTGACAAGGCAGGACTCAAATATGGTACTCCGAGTTTTCCGTATTACTTTGATAGATAAGAGTTATTTGGGGTAATTGGTTCACATTTTTTATAGAATGGAGAATATTTTGTACTTTATTTATCCTAATATTTTCTTTTTAAACAAGGACATTTATGTCATTTTATACTTCATTAAGGTAATAGATTGACCTTACTCTCACAATTTTCAAATGTTTCAACCACCCTGGGAAATTTTGCTCTTTTTACCCCTGAATAAATTTTCTGTATATTATATACATCTAACATACTGTAATATATATATATATACACACACACACACATACACGCACATACTGTGTGCTGGGGTCACTGGCTGCCAGCCTCCATGTCTGGCAGATTTGGTGGCTAATTTGTTGAAAATTAAAGGCCAGGTATTATGTTGTGTAGCTAGCTCGTGGTAAGAGTCTTATCTGCAAGTCTGTCATGAACGCGACGTACATAATGAACATCTGTGTGCGGACATGGAAGAAAGACGAAACAAAAACTGCCACAGCTTTCTATTATTCTTTTGCACATTCTGTTTTTAATTATATATTTTCTTATGATTTTTTATTTGTTTTTTCCAATGTGAAGCTCATATTTATTCTTCACCCAAATTTTAAAAAATAAAAATTAAGTCGTATGGATGTGACAATTTTTTGATATTTCAAAAACTACATAAACTTCTACATTATATATATACAATTTGGTCAACTACTCTTGTCTAGTTCTATCAAATTATCTAATTAAAAAATAATAATATATACATATAGATGTGTGTACATATTCTAATATAGAATTGGAGATTGAGTCAATTGACATAATTTTCATCATTTCAGGCGTCAGTTGATTGAATCATCATCATCATCACTCTTTCAAAATAAATGTAGTAGACTTTATTTGAATGGTAAAGTCTAATTTTTATATTAAGAATTACTGTACATGGTTTAGAAAATAAAGTTAGTCACTATTTTAATAATTTTTATATTATATATATTATTATTATTTCACTATCATGTCATCACAATATTTTTGTTTTAAATAAACAAATATTATTTTATCCGTCATTTGGACCATATGTATAATTTAAATTTTCTTTTTAAAAAAAGTTGAATAGTTTGTTAAAAATGTAGTTGAAGAAGTGTCTTGAAGAGTCGAGTAAGCGTCCAAAATAATGCAGATGTTCTGATAGTCTAATGGTTAGTATCTCCGATAAATTTTAAGAGTGTCAAATTTTGACTCTTTACACTTACTAATTTAACTTCTAATTTTATTTTATTATTATTATTTTTTAAATGTGTTAAATATGCATCCCAGAAGTGATATCTAATTATCAGGATATGGTTTATTTGTAGAAATGTCGGTTTTCTTTAGATAGCATCATATTTCAATTTTCAAAACGAAGACTGATCAAGGGTTAAATTTGTCCAATTTGTTGAGGGTTAAACTAAACTATCATCGTTGACTAGTATAGTTTGGGATAGACATATATGCTACAGTTGTGGTCCTACTGCCTTCAAGCAAATTCTTACAAAAAGCATATATATATATATATATATATATATAAAATCCCAAGCCCACTTTCCCTCTGTATATCGTGTTGCCCATATCACAGGGCACAAAACAATAATGAAGACAACAATGAAAATGTGGTGGTGGCGGTGGCGGCTGATCATGGTGTTTATGGTGGTGGTTGTGTGGATGTCAGATACTGCAAAATCTGACCCACAGACTAAGCTGCTCAATTATGGATGCAGTCAGTACAACGCCACCAACCTGTCCAACTTCTTCAGCAACCTGAATGCCACCTTCTTGGATCTCCGCAGCCAGCTTTCCACTAACAACACGCACTTTGCCACGGCGGCGACAGCGAGGTCGTCGGACCCGGTCTATGCCATGGTTCAGTGCAGGAACTACCTCTCTATAGCCGACTGTGTCGCTTGCTTCGACGTCGCTGAGTCTCAGATACGCAACTGCTCCGCTGCCAACGGTGCTCGGGTCATCTATGATGGCTGCTTCATCAGGTAACTATCCTCTGCATTCGATCTCTAAATTTACTGTTACATGTAAATTAACCGAGTTCGGTTGAGTTAGCCCGGCCTTCAGATTCTCAAAATTTTGAGAGATTGTAGGAGAATTTTCAAATGTAAGCCCTGAGGCCCTCTATGTAAGATTTTTATTTTATTTTATTTTTACATTTATTTTCATTTTTTTATCATCCTCGTCTTCTAAATTTGAAACCCTTTCAAATTAGAAGTTATGGAGGATCGCGGGTCCAAAGGCCCTTCCAAATTGGAGGGCCCAAACACCATGCTCCGAGATGTTCAGGCTCCAACTAGTTTAAAATCCGTAAAGACTTTGAGATGTTCAGGCTCAGTTCAATTCTAGATCAATTCACACGAATTAATAGACAATCTCATGTGACTTGAATCAAGTGTTGTACAACAATCAATTGAAACACCACAAACAAATTTTAATTTTTGTATAACGCCCTTTTTTTTTTTTTTTTTTTTTTTTACTGGCACCGGAACTCACTTGGGCATGGTCTCTTTGGGACTCACGCCAACCTACAAATCGGGGATGTTGTCAACAGTCCCACACCTCAGTAACAATTTCAATTGAGGGTTATAATAGCGATGGACAGGTTCAAACCTGAAACATGAGCGTTCCCAGGTCATTACCTTACCAACTTAGAGATAACACTCATGTTGTGTAAGAGACTCTCCGCATCCTATAACATATATGTATGTGTGTGCGTATGTATGTAGAGAAAAGATTCCCTTTAATCCTATATATATTATTTTGTGGATTAAAACGATATAGTTTTGGATGGACCGAATTCCATATCAACAGGAGGGATCCATTATATCTATCTATCCATTTTAATTTATTAGGGGGCCTGTCTTCACATGATTTGTCTATCATTATTTTCAACTTGTCAATACCTGCCAAAAAAGGAGAGAGGACACGTTTGGGATTGACCAAAAAGTCGTTACAATTGCCAATATAAAACCACTGGCGGTGGATGCGGTTTGATGTTTAAGATGAAAGGGTAAAAAAATATTATAAGATTTTATTTGGTAGACCATCATATAATGGGCCACATGATCGTTATTTTATATGATAGATGAGTTTGGTTAATTGGGCTTTATTTGTTAGAATGATGTGGACTTGGGCTGGGCTTTTGCAATTGAGAAAAGATGTTAAATGTAGGAATGGGTATTCTCTATGTGGGCTATGCTTGTATCTCATTAATCAATTTTGCGGGATGAGTCGGTTGTGGGCTAAGCTTATTACGTAATAGACACTATTTAATTATCTAATAGACAGTATTCATGAGCTTATAAAAATTTGTATTTCATTAATTAATTAGAGAAGCCCAAACTAATAAAACCCACACATATAGTTGTGACCAAACTACTACCTTGGTCTTGTTTAATAACTCAATTCCATATTTAGTTTCAATGGATTAAACAAAGGATGGGTTTTTATTTGAAAAATAACCCTAAAAACCTCAATTTAGAGAGTGATGAGAAAGGTTAGGGGTGCACAAAAAATCGGTAAAATCGATAAATTGATTCAAACCAAACTAGATCGGCTCCAAAAATACATAGAATCAATTATAAACGGTTCAATTACGATTTACAGTTTTACGAGCCTAAATCGAACAAAACTTAACCATTGTATAAATTGTATATATATATTTATTTGTATTATGTAAATAATAAAAAAATAAGATTAGTATTTTAACCATTCAAGTATATATCATAATATATAATAAAAATTTATGTTATATATATTATATATTATGGATATATTAGATTGAATTAAAAAATAAAAAATAAAAATTGTTTTTTAACGATTTAGTTTGGTTCGGGTGGGTTTCATTAATGGTTTGACAGTTCATTTCGGTTCTAACTTTTATATAACCGTCTATGATAATTTGGCTCCAAAATATTCCAAAACCGGTCCAATCTTCGAACAGTCTGCACCCCTAAGAAAGACACAGATTGAAATTGATATTGTGGAATAGAGCCTGCAAGTGGTGTGATGATGATGATCTCATCATATGGAGAAAGTTTCTCACAGTTTGCTTCTTTTTTGAAGGTATGAGAGCAACAGTTTCTATGACCAGACCACTCTCCCCGGCAACACTGGGCTATGTGGCAATCAAACCGCATCTCAGCCAACTGCTTTTGATGAGGCAGTAAAAGCATCATTAGCTGATCTTCAAGTAGCGACACCGAGGATTAATGGTTTCTTTGCAGCAACAAAGACAGCAGTGGTCGGTGGCAATGCATCAGTTTACGCGGTGGCACAATGCGCCGAGACAGTAAGTGAGACTGGTTGCCAAGATTGCTTGACAGTGGCATATGGCAACATACAAAGTTGCTCACCGGATACAGATGGTAAGGCTGTTGATGCCGGGTGTTTCCTCAGGTACTCGGAGACGGCTTTTTTCGCAGATAACCAGACAGTCAATATCACCCCTTTCCTTGGATCAGGAGGTGAGTCCTCTTCTCTTTTTAACTTCACTTCAAAATCAGATGAGTAATGTGTTTTTTTTTTTTTTTTTTTTTTTTTTTTTTTTTTTTGGGTTTTGCATCGTGCATTCTTCATTTTGCATATTAATTAATTGCTGTTATTGGGTTAATCTCTTTTGGCTTTGGCAAATTACCTAAATTCCTTGTGATTGGAGTAGATGAAATCTAATTACTACTTGATAGGAAGTGTGGAACGTGATAATACTGTACACTTTACCCCAACTTTGCTTTTTTGGGAGTATTTTAGAATTTTCACACTTGTTATGTAGCCCTAATTCTATAAGTATAGTAGCGGAGGTCGTGATTCATTCTGAACTCTGTAATTTTGTTTGCCGTTCAACATAGCGAAATCTCAACAATGTACTCCTAATTTTGGGTGAATCACGGAAATCTATATATACTGTGCAACTTATTACAACTTTGCTTTTTTGGGGTATTTTAGAATTTTCACACTTGTTATGTAGCGCTAATTCCATAGTAGTGTAGCAAGGGAGGTGGTGATTCTTTCTGAACTCGGTAATTTTGTTTTGCTCTTCATCATAGTGAAAACTCAACGTCTCGTGGATGTAGCCCTAGTTTTGGATGAATCACGTAAATCTGTGTATTTTTGTTTATTTTCTTGTTTCTTTTTTCTGTTGATTTTCCCAAAGTATTGATGAGAAACTGCATTTGCTTGATATGAGGTCTACAAGAGTACTGTCATCATGAGTAATGCTTAGGATCTCTCCTCCTCTCCCTCACACATACACATTATTTAGCTCCTTCCAATTTGAAATTGCATATCATTTCTTGAAATTGCATAATTTGTCATTTTTTATATCTTCAGGAAGTTCAACCAAGAAGAAAGCTATTATTGGTGGAGTGGTTGGAGGTGTAGGTCTTCTTTTGATTGTAGCTGCTTTGTTTTCATGGTATTACATGTCGAGTAAGCCGAAGGCAACTCGAAGAGGTAAACAAGATTTACTGGTTTAACAAATTTTTGGCTGCTTTTTATTTAAATTGTTAATTTTGAAGTGAGACCAGTTGCCAAATTTTTGCCAAAATCAAAGTCATCACATTCAAGAAGTAGATAAATGACACTGATTTTATCTTCACTCTTCAGTCGCTTGATTTTACTTCCAACCATCCAGATTAAAAACCCTTTTAAGTATTCAAAGTTTTATTTTTCTCTATTTCTGTCTTTTCTTTTCTTTTTTCTTTGAATTTTTGCTCGAAATACAATGAAAATGTGATTGTTTTCCTCTGTACCAGGTGATATATTAGGGGCAACTGAGTTGCAAGGTCCAGTGACTTACAGTTTTAAAGATTTGAAGACTGCAACTAAAAATTTCAGTGAAGAAAATAAACTAGGAGAAGGAGGTTTTGGTGATGTATACAAGGTAACTTGATGTAATTTTGTATGAATCATTGTTTTTAAAAACTATGAAAAAACAGTATTTTTTATTTTGATTTGCATTTTCATTGATTCTCATTATTTTATAATACATTTTTTAGCTATTGCATTATTGGATTTTTTTTTTTTTTTTGCAGTCTAGTAGTGTTACCTTCTTCCTTTGTAATTGAACAGGGAACTCTTAAAAACGGGAACGTAGTTGCAGTGAAGAAACTAGACCATGTCTCCAGTAGAGCAAAGGCTGATTTTGAGACCGAAGTTAAGCTTATAAGTAATGTTCATCACCGGAATCTCATTCGTCTTCTGGGATGTAGTAACAGAGGACCAGAACTGCTGCTTGTTTATGAGTACATGGGAAATGGAAGCCTTGATAAATTCTTATACGGTAAGTTTGCCTCTTCTTTCTTGTCAAAAAGGACTGATCTAGCATTTCAATTTAATTATTCCAAGTTATTTGCATTAATCAATGAAGAGAAAGATTGATATTAGAAAATGTTGAGATTTTTTGTTTTAGTAAGTGAAAAAGATTAGATTTATTTTATAATCTACTAGCTTTTATGAGCAAGTGTGTGACAGAAAGAAGTCCAATTTAGAAATTGTTGCAGGGGATTTTTTCAGCTGAACATATCCTACACACTAAATTTGAATTAATTTACTGAGTCAATGATCAACACATTTGGTAATGCCTTCTGCTTATTGAAGAAATGTTTACAATAGTGCCATCCCATGGCCAGTGAACCTCTTTTTTTTAAGGGAAAATTACATATAAATGGAGTCAAAGTTCCATATTTACTTAGAGATTGAATCAAAATTCCATATTTCTCTAAAATGGATTGCTGAGGTGGCACATGGTTTTTTACTGTTTAAAAAATTATGGTGCCTAAAATGCCCTTCCCTAACAAAAAGGTAGTACATTCAGTTCAAAAAAGTAGTACCTTCAGTTCAAAAAAGTATTACCTTCGGAGAAAAAGTAGTACCTTCGCGGTGTTTAAAAAACATGGTACCTGGACGCCAAAAAGTAGTACCTTCAGTTCAAAAAAGTAGTACCTTCGAAGAAAAAGTAGTACCTTTCCGGAAGGGTATTTTAGGCACCACAATTTCTAAACAGTAAAAAACCATGTGCCACCTCAGCAATCCATTTTAGAGAAATATGGAACTTTGACTCAGCCTCTAAGTAAATATGGAACTTTAACTCCATTTATATGTAATTTTCCCTTTTTTTTTTTTTTTAATGTGTTAAAAAAGCAGATGCATTTGAGAAGCAATTGAAAAACACACACACACACACACATATATATTAGTTCATTTCAATCAAAACTAAATATATGAATTAATTTTTCATATTGAGCAGGTGAAAAGCGGGGGACTTTAAGTTGGAAGCAAAGGTTTGATATAATCTTTGGAATGGCTAGGGGTCTTGCTTATCTGCATGATCAGTTCCATGTATGCATCATACATCGGGATATAAAATCCAGCAATATTCTGCTGGATGATAATTTCCAGGCCAAAATTGCTGATTTTGGGTTGGTAAGACTTCTACCTGCGGATCAGAGTCATGTCAGCACCAGATTTGTCGGAACCTTGTAAGTTACTGTAAATTCAATCACTTCACTGCTTAGATAACCTTAGTCTGTATCGTAGTATTCATCAGCACTCAAAATTTTGTGTAAACAATGTTTAAAATTGGCAGTAGCATAACAACGCATCCACAATTGAGAATATAAGTTTTGTTGCCAAATGCATTTGTGAATTTCAAACTGCTTCGGAATCAATACTTGTTTCTTTTCTGATTCATTGTTTACACTCCATTTATTCGCATCCAAATACTAAAGTTTCCATAAAAATAAGTTCTCTGATATCAGTTGAAGTTTCTTTTAGTGACAATGGAATTACTAGAGTCTAGAGGCTGTTTAGGTGCCTAATATAGTAAAACCGGTCCATTGTGTTTCACATATAACATTGATTAAATGATCAGACTTGCCTAAATATGATTGAAAGCCCCTCACAATTCCTGATTCTCATGTATCAGGGGTTACACAGCACCAGAGTATGCCATTCATGGGCAGTTGTCAGAGAAGGTTGATACCTACAGCTTTGGCATTGTGGCCTTAGAAATCATAAGTGGCCAAAGGAGCAATGACATGAAGGTCGAGGCTGAAACTGAATACCTCCTTGAAAAGGTAACTTGTCATAACCATAAACTTTTATTTCCATCAATTGTCTAATGCTTTTATGTTATGGTGTTATAGGCATGGAAACTGCATGAGACTGATATGCATTTGAAGTTGGTGGATGAGACATTAGACGCAAGTGAATACAAAGAAGAAGATGTGAAGAAAATCATGGAGATTGCTTTGATGTGCACTCAATCGCCAGCTTCTCTTAGGCCGACAATGTCTGAGATTGTTGTTTTGCTTTTAAGCGAGCAATCAGCAGAGCCTAGACGCCTGAGCAGGTCTAGCTTCGTTGATTCTGATCTGAGGATTCGCGAGGACACATTTACTGCGTCTACTGGCTCAACAAAATCCCATGCCACTGCCTCAATTACTGACTTCACAGGTCGCTAGCTTCTAGACTCATCGGGCTATCAAGTGTGTGACTATGCTTATTATCTTCAAGTCATTTCAGCACCACAATTATACACAACTTTAATTTTTTCATGTTTGTTATTATAATATTCGTGTTTGTAACTTATGGCCTGTCATATGACTCATATATAGAATTCTTGCAAGGGTTAGAGGGCAATTTCTGTGCATTGCAAATTGCAATCCCCTTAACTGTTGTAACCCTTTCTACGTTGTGTGTACTAAAAGGAATGGTTTTCATATCCGAGTTTGTTCCTTATATCATTGTGAGTTTTCGTTTGTTCATATGTTGAAATCACTTCTTTCCACTAACCGGGGAAAAAAATAAAAATAAAAAGCGCACTTCTTTTTTTTCTCTCCAAATGATAGTTTATTTGGCTCAGGCTAAATAAGGAACTCTACCCTTCTTTCATTCTGCTTTGGTTTAGGACTGCCATTTCTTGGTCTATCTCACAATCTATCTCCTTTCATCAAGCTTATCCCAATACTCCTAATTCTTATCCTATTGATTCAATGAGCTACAAGGCCACCATCAAGATGGACAGAGCTAGGAAGCTTGATAAAATGTGGTGCTGCCTGGGTTTTGTAGTCTATCTGCCTCAGCTATCATCATGGCGGAAACTTGCTTAGCTCTTCCTTTGCCTTGAATCCTCTGCAGGCTGAGCTCAATCCTATATCAGTGAGCCTCATTGACTTGGCTAGAGTAGAGACTGTGAGCTTGTATTTTGAGGCTGAGTAGAAGAGGTGTCACGACCCTACCCACACAATGTAGATATTGTTCACCTTGTACACTCTTCTCTCGGTGTTCACTATTTTTTACAAAATGCGTGAACACGATTAGGGGGTGTTCACACATATAAGCAGGGACTGTAACGCCCCGAATCCCATGATCTGGTGCATTAACTACAATGGTCCGAAACCCCGACCTGATACCAAGTCCAAAATGCGAAAGCTAAGGTCAAAATGGTCATTTGACATTATAATGTCTGATAATAGGTTTACAATAACCTCATGAGTCATTACTAAACATGAATGACGAAAACAAACATTAATTTCCGGGTTTAAATCGAAGAGTCCAAGGTGTGCCTAAGAAGGAGCTGCGAGCGCTCGGAGGGCATTGTGCGAGCGCACGCACGGTGTCCTGCGAGCTCCTGTGCGCATGCGCACATGGGCCTGACAAGCTCCAAGATATCGGAATTGGTCTGCGAGCGCTCGGACTTAAGTGAAGCCCTCTGGTGAACAGTACCGTGGCCTCAAAATAATTTTCAAAAATTGGTTTTCTTTTTCCTTTGAATACAAATTGGTCTTTGGTCATCCCTACTTCATTTTCATGCATACATATATGATTCCAAACACATTTTAAGCATCTCATAGTCTAAGAACATGGCATGGGGTGTGGATGCCAACAAGTAAATGTGTGTAGCATACTTAAAGTGTGCAAATTATATAGGGAAGCATACATTAAAGAAAAATGGCCCCTTCGCTTCATTACAACACTTGTTTAGGTTACAAATATAACATGGTAGAGTAGAAATAACTCGGGAACTCCAAAAGATGCAATTGAGTTCCTAGTCAATTTCTCTCTTCAAAAAAATATACGTCATATCACCCAATTAGTACATGTCCAAAAATGATAGATCAAACATGCCTAATATATAGCATGTAAACATGGCACAAACCATGTCCACAAAGCAGAACTAATCAAATCCAAGTTAAGACGGAGGTGCATCCAAGTATAGCACGCTCTTACCTGAAAAACGGGTGTGAGTAATTTAAATTACTTCGTAGGCAATGCATTATAAAGATAAACTAGGTTTCTTTGGCCTCGCAATTATATGACATGCTATATAAGTATAGAACATGCCTGCTAATCATCTAATTCAAGGGTAGGTCTAAGGATACATCCTGGAAATAACAATTGAATCAATATTCACAAATACAACTCAAGATGTATACTTTAAAATCTAAAGTAAGCCAAGTTACACTACACATGGATGTCAACTTGGAAATCAAGATTCAAAATCATATAATAGGAATAACTTGGACACACTCACACCTCGGGACATACCTACTGCATGAACCAGTAAAATAGTTATTCTCGGTCTACTAAACAGTAGGGAACAAACCTAATGGCCATTATAAAGTTGGGAAAATTCTGGTTTCACCCGCTAGCACCAAGCCCTAGCATTCTCAAGTAACAAGTCCCAAGTATCTCCCAAAAATCATCAACAATATCCACAATGTATTACATACATAAAGATCAAGTTATGCACTTCACAAGCACACTTAAATCCCAATACTCACACAATTCATGCTCTATAGTCTCCAATATTGCTACCATGGCATGAATTCCAATATAAATGACATACCAAGGCATTTGTAATTGTTAAAGCAAGTAAGGTTATAATCATGCTAGCATTTCATCCTCAAAGATATACTAATAACCTAATATATCATCAATTCATGTTCTTGAACAAATATTCAAAGGTTTACACAATTAATCCAAAAAGATTGAATACACATCATACCATAAACCTTATATTAGAGGGTTATGTAAAAGCATATGATACAAGTACCATAGAAAATCAATTTAATAACATAAATGAACTAAATGAGCAATAAAATAAAGCTACCATTGCGCATGCATTAGGACATCAAGTAAGCTTAGGTTATGAACAAAAGTAGATTAAAAACTCTCACACTCACACAATACATGCACAACACACACTATAACCCAAAACACAAAGAAGTGGCTAGTTTAGAGTTACGGGGTAAGTGCAAAAAACACTCCTGGAGTATACTTTTCATAGCACTTTTACCCCTTATTTAAAAAGTGTGCAAAAAACACCCATATTCTTTTCAATTTGTGCAAAAACATCCCTCAATTAATATAATACACATTTTACCTTTTTACTCTTCCAAAAATGCCCCTACTAAACCTTACTTCTTTTTTGTAATGTCCCAAATACCAAACCAAAGAATTCACAAGGATTTCGGTGGAGATGCTAATGGGTAGTGGCTAGCTTGAAGGAACGGCACAGCAGCGAAGATGGACGGTGGGACAGAATCGGCCGACAAGGATGGTTGAACGGCCGTGATGAAGAACTACGGTAGTACACTGGTGAGACAGATTCGGCTGGGACAGGCTAGTGTAGCCGTGACAGATCTGACGATGTGGACCAACGAACAAGGTGGTTTTCAGAAGGGCAAAATGGCCATGACAAGCTCGACTGACTGACCGCGGCTCAGAGGGGTCTGAATGGCAGGCAAGGAGGTGACGGACCGGTGAGGATGAAAACGGCCGGTGAGCAAGGAGAAGCTCGCACGGAACTGATCGTGGTTCACGAGGGCAGTGAGCTTGGAACAGTGGCCGGCGAGTAAGGGGGAATCTTGGCAGGTGGTGGCGATGACAGCGAACAGCGATTCCGGCGATGGGCTGTGGAAAAGATTGGTTCGGCCGTAAGCTTACGGCCAATGTGAATTGCTTTCGTCGAACGAAATGAGGCATTCAGTGAAGCACAGTGCTATCTGAAATCTCTATAGTACAGAATTGGCTCCAATTGGATTTTCATGGGGGATTTTAACAGTCTTTTTTTCATCTGGATGAACATCGAGGGGGTTCTAGGAAACAATGATGGTTGTTCCATAGCTTCAGTTGATTGATTATTGTGGTCTCTCTTTGGACATGGGTTTCAAGGGACATCCTTTTACTTGGGGCAACAATAGATAGGAGGGGCAAACCATATCATGTCGAGACTGGATCGCGGATTGTGCATCCAAAGATGGCTGTCAAAATGCAGACATAACAATCATAGTACGGTTTCAAGCTATGATCATAAAATGAAGAAAAAGAAGGGCCAAACCCTTTTTAGTTATTTCACAAATAAAATAGGACCTATTGACACAAATGTCATCGTTTAGGGGTGTTTGTTGTACAGGAGGGGTGTAATATACACTGTAAGCATATTATAGGGGTATTTTTTGCACTTGACCCTTAAAGTTATACTATACTCCCTACCTCACTAAGGAAGCAAATCCTAGGAATCCAAGAAGCAAAAATAATTCAAAACCAAAACCAATTGAAGGGTTTTGATGGCCTTGGAGTCCCCAAGCTTTCTTCCTTCTATGGTAACACCAAATGAGCAAAGGAAAGAAGCCAAAAATGAATAAAAAGGCTTGAAGCCAATGAGGAACAATGGAGGAAGGGGGAGAAACGGAAGAGAGAGATGAAGTGCTGAGACAATTGCAAAATATCTATAAAGGTGTCTCTAAAGTCATTGTGGACCCCATAAGTCCCCAAAATCACACAGAAGCCACCAAATGCAAAATAAATGCATAAATGAGTATGGAATGTCCTGAAAATGACATAAATGATTAAATCTGCCCTAATGGGGCTAATGAAGTGTTGGGAATAATTCCCGAGCACTTGTCTCTGCCTGGGCCCACATAGCCCAAAAAGAAAAGAAATAAAAATAATGCAAAAAAAGGAAAAAGAGGTCATGGTCCTCACAGGGACGGACCCATGTGAGCCCAGTGCGGGCACTTACCACCACTGGAATTTTAAAATTTTCTATTTTTACCTAGAAAATCTTAAGTAATTATATAAATGCCCCCATAACTTTTTCCTTTCCCCCTATCAGAATTGTAAAAATTCTTATTTTTCCTAGAAAATCTTGCATAATTATATCAGTGCCCCCATAACTTATCTTTGCCCCCATTGATTTTTTTTTTTTCTTCTCACTTATACCCTCATTATTGTTTAAAATCGCCCCCACTAGAACAAATTTCTGGGTTTGTCATTGCATATAAGGGTCAACAACATATCCCTCAAGACAATGTGGGGACGTCACAATCAACCCCTATTTGGACCTATCGTCTTTTCTAACCTTACATAGATGGACTTGTGAATGCTCCCCCATTTTCAAGGGATTGGTTCTGATACCATTTGTCATGATCGACCTGCCCACACCCTATAGATATTGTCCAATATGCACACTCTCCTCTCGATGTTCACATTTTTGCTTAGAATGAGTCTACGTAGTTTGGGGGTGTCCACACAAATGCCAACATCCTTTTTCCAAGTTGATGTGGGAACGTCACAGAAGGTATGTCCATGTCTGTGTTCTATGGATTTCATACGATTTAGGCACATTGAAGGGCGGCTCCATATTCGGTTTAGTTGTGGTTAATTATAGTGGGGATTCAAAGAATTGTGTCCAATATATTTATCTGAAGAGAGATTTAAGGGTTGAAGAGAAT